TTTCTTTTGGATTTGGACTGCAAGTAGTGCAGATCAGCCATCCAGTGTATCGTAGAAATCCTCGACTGTTCGTCTAAAAACAGAAACGATACATAAACCCGTGTAGGTCAACATGTTTGTATGGATCTGGCAGTCACCTAAGCAAACGCCGACAAAACGACTGGGTATAGTACCCAGATTTATGGTGTTGATACCATGAAAGTACAAGGAGAACTCTAGATGACTGCTCCACTATCTCTTCGATGTAGCGATACTTGAGTGTGTAGTTGGAGGACGCGACGAAGCTTACTAAATTGGAAAACGCAACAAGAGAGAGCGAGCCACTTTCGGACCCACTTCAACGCAAACCCTCCACGCAATATGTTTTTAGTTCTGCATTTGGGCTGTATAAATTTGACGAGAACCCCCACGGAAAATTGCCATATTACTGCCAACCAGGTTGAACGAAATATGATTATGGTTAAGATATCCTCCCACAATGAATATTTCGAACAATGCCTATGTTGAACAGAATTTTCATCCGAACTTACCAGTGTAAACGTTTCATCTTAGTGAGCCGGTACACCAGCGATTGAAGGGAAGACCTTGCTTCCTAACGATTCAAGTGGATATTACGGAAGCCGCCGTAGAATCTATTTAACGCTCACAAGGTACCTTCCTGAAGCTCTGAGCGACAGTATTTGATGGAAGTTGCTTGCAGTAGTGTGTTCAAGGTTATACCAATTCGGGGCATCGGGGATCAAGATAAGAAAGAAACTCACAGGAAGCCCTTGTAACACGATACGAGGTGAGTATGCAGCGGATAAGACGGTTGGTCTCCACAACAGCTCTGTGCAGTGTGAACCAAGAGAGTGGGTTGTAAGAAATCCACTCGGCAGGACAAACGACATCTGATTCTGATAGCCATATCCTAGACATTCGGAAACTTTTTCCAACAACCATAGTTGGCCTGATATATCAAGATATGCTTCATGCCCGGGTACTAACCCATGACTTCATCTAAGCTCATTTGAATCTCACTTGACAAAGGAAATTCACATCGGAGCTTTTGCGATAATGAGAGACAAGTCTCCTCTTTTAGATCGAGGAAACCCAAAGTGGACGTTGGAGATAGTGGAGGATCCCCTTAATAAAACTTGAAAACGGCATTGATTCGTAATGGATGTCAACTACAACGATGAGATTGGACGAACTCCTGTCAACGCCTCATTTGTTTTTCCAAAGGAGGTTTACAAGCTTTGTCATGAAAGGCTCATTTGTTTCCTCTATCGTAAAGAAACTAATTGTGGTGCTAAGCTGTGACGACGCGTGGAACATGCATGGTTTGAAGTGGAGATGTTTTTGGTCGGGCTGGACATCGTAAGAATCGTACTTAGAGGCCTTAAACCTCAGGGAAATGGATCTTTCTATGAACCTTAAATCTTATTGATGCAGGGGATCTTACTGGGAAGACTTGTATGGACTTTGCTTCGCTTTACCTTGAACCTTGAGGATGGAAAGATATATATAAAGGGGACGAAAGTACAGGACAGCAGATGAAGCAAATTATAGTACAAAGCAGAATCTCGGGAATCGGAATGAGCAAACGATTTGTTGTTAGCTTCAGATTACATAATACTCTGCTGCGCCTCACTTACCAGGGTTTCAAGGTCAATGCAGCCAACCGGCTTGGCTGTCTTTCCTTGCCCTCCAGCTCCATCCAACGGTCAGGAGTCAATAGTTGGAAACCAGTACCGGCATTTGAAAAGATTCCGATATACATACGCATTTTTACTCAGGTGGTTTTGCATAATTACAGCAAATCGTATCCAGTTGGTGCATGAAGTGCCCCCAGCTCCGTGTTCATCTGCTCCGCTCCGCCCGACCAAGAAAAATGCAATGCCTTACTCCATAATGTCGTCAGAATTAATCAATTCCCAGAGATATTTTTCGCGGAGCTCCTCTTTCTAGCATATCCTTACCGACTGTTCCGAAAAGATTTCTTAAATTAGAATATGAATGACGCTATGTTAAAGGTTAACAAAGCAAAGTTTTTTCATACAGGCATTCACCCTCAACATACTTTTATGGAAGCTTCTAGGAAATGCCAGCTCATGCTCTTTATAAAAGGAGTCTCGTATTGTATCTGTTTTATTCTATTTTGATTACCGCGCAATCCCAAGAGTTCTGCATAGGAAGATTATATTGATAGTTCTTGAAGACTGACTTGGCAAAAGTTCGCTAGATAAATGAAGGGGTCGTGAAGCAAATACATCGATAAGCTGCGCAAAATCTGCGAGTAAAGCCAAATCTCCGTTCTCTTGTTATTTTCTCGGCTTTGATGGGTATAAGAAGAAAGAAAAAAAGTGCTAAATTCCAAAGGTAGAGGGTGTAGCCTCAAACCAGAAGAGAAAGATCGACATCCATCTTGGTCTCCGCATATTCACCTTTTCCGCTTTTGTTGGTTAGAAATCATATTTAAATACCTCGGAACCTCTTTGATTATCGACTCTAATCATATAAAAGCAGTCACTCTCTCCTCAAATGGAGTATTTCCTCACGATCGTCGTTTCTCCGAAAGAGTGTCGTATCCGATGAGTGATGTCACTGGCGCCGCGAGCATCCGCAAGAGAGATCGACTTTCCATGACGAAATTGCTCTTCAACGGCTGTCCCTTCTTGACAGTCCTGCGGTGAGGCTCCAATGACTTGCTGTCAGAAACTTCTCCCTCCATCAGTTCTGCACTAAGTTGATTCTATTTGCTTGGAAAATCGAGCCGTTTTAACGAATCATAACAGTCTAACCGGATTCTCGACTCACAAGGCTTCACTAACAAACTGTGATTCTTGGTCAATTTTACGACCTGGGCTACACCCACTCCTGAGCTTAGCCTCCTCGGCAGTACAGAAAAGTAGGTTGGTTATCGTGATCAGATTGAGATGCTTCCACTCTATAGATTCCCCGAGAATCGTGCCTTCAAGAGTAAGTTGCAAACAAGGCAATTAGCGCACATCACCGCTAGCTAAACCACGCATTATCCCATGAGCTTGCGAGGAATAAGTAAAAATACTATCTGTCACTTCCCAAGATCCATTGAAATCACGAACTCTCAAGTAGCAATACTGAATACCTTGAGTCAACACCAAAGTTGACATTCACATACTGTAACCTCATATCAAAGTGAGTGGTAAGTTGGTTACCGGTTGGATGTGTCAAAAAGGATTTGGTGCAATGGAAAATGCTCGATCCTTAGCGATCAACACAAGCATCACTCAACATTCTTCCAGCCGGACCTCATTTCAGGATTGCCAATCTGGTGTTCTGATGGGCGTAAAGGGTTATCCGGAAAGGATTCATGTGATCCCGAAACCAATCAAGGAAGAAGGTGTTTTCATCCCCTGGAGCAATCTGTTGATCTATCTAAATCATCACGTGGATTTCAGTAGGTCCTCCACTCATCGAGCAAGGCACTAGCCACACTTTGTTTTCTCACAACAATTTACAGAGCAGCAACATCAACGTACGACTGAAAATTGGAAGGCTCCCTCGAATGAGGAGAAAACATTTCTCAAATCAAACCAGAAGTCATCTCCCCCTTTCTTCAAGATAGTAATTAAGAAGCAATAATCAATCAATACAGAACTGTAACTATACGAGCTCCCTTTCGATCTGGGAAGGGCACTGAGTAAGGTTGCCGTGATTCAATAATTACCACTATCAGCAAGAACCCTGAAACAAAGAATATCCGTATAAAACCACCACAAATCATTTCGGCACCGAACCTTCTTTACGCAGCAACTGATAAGAATGAACATCAGATGAATTCACTAAAAGAAAAAAACGAACTTCATGCCAAGTAGTTAGTCAGGTACCGGTATCCAGAAACGTGGTGAAAAGTCCGAGGACGCGGCACAGAGGAAGGTGCTAGCCTAAATAGGCATATATCATGTATTATAAGTTCGATGCCCGAGCCCTAAGGGGTATGGCCTGGTCCAATGGTAACCATGTCCATTAAAATAAAATCCATTTTTCTGGCACGGCTTGTTAAACGGGACTAGATAATGAAGGGCTGAAAAGACGCTATATCATAGGCGATGAAAAAACTTTTGCCGGTGACATAAACGCTGACGAATTTCTCAAAACAAATGACGGCGCTTACGAAGGCGTGTTTGATGGGCCGACTACGAGACCTAGAGGCTAGACCTCGTCTCAATCATTTACACAGGATAACATTATCTTACATGTTTGACGTGGAGACCCCGAAATTGACCAAGTATCTTGGTTGTCTCTTCGTGTGGTTCTTCTGTCAAATGTACGCTCTGTGGGGTGATGGAAAACGTCCTTTAAGAGGGGCGAGTACCAACAGATAGAAATAAGTATCAGGTTAACCAACAACGTAGGTCTCCTGGATCAGAATTTCTGTTGGATTTGAATAGACCTCGAGTGAGGACCTTTCAGTTATAATCTACAAGGCGCAGTAAATTCCATATTGTAGGAAATTCTTAGCCAACAATTTAGACCTCTGAAAAGTCAACATATTCCGACAATCGCTATACTGAAGGTTCCTGAGGAAAGTGCTTATTCATTGTCGTCTTGTTGGTTGGTTCTCTCAATTTTGAATTCTCCATTGTCAATTTCTGGGACTTCATCTAGTTCTCGCTCAATTGAGGATTTAAGTCTTTGTTATATACTATTATCTTGTGTCAAGGGAGGTATCTCTTATAAGCGTTTTTATCTTCAATTCCTCACACTCCTTGAGATATTCTTCTATATTCATATTCATCTTGCTGCCGGACAGTCACAAGCAGTCATTCCGTCTTTCTTTCATCATTAATAACCATTCAATAAATACCCAACGTACTGCATTCATGTCCTCATGACTTTCCAAGTCTTTCATTGCAGTTCTCACAACCATTGTGTAAGTCAATTTTGATTTCATTTCCCAACCACTCACTCAATCGTTATGTCATCTAGTCTCTCACCTGAATCAAACTATTCTTCCCCCCGTGGATCCCTTGCGAATGTTTCTCAGCCCTCGATACAAATTCATCATCTACATCTTCCCTTTCCTCACACCATCGATACATGCACAAACGACACAGATATGTGATTCTACAAATGCAACAACGAAATCTGGAAGATACACATTCTTCCCAGATATTACAACGACTGATAAGGATGGATATCAATGCACAGATGTGAGTTGTTCTCCCTCCTCCAGAAAGATGAAACAATAAGGGAAAAGGCTAATTTCACCTCTCTCAAGTTCTCCCTCGCCGACGAAAACAGCGGTAGCGTAGGCTCAACAACTCAATTTAACACCACTTTTTCCTGGTCCTCCTCCCCCGATATCTCGACCCCGCACTCCTTCCCCTCCCTAACCCTCAATCTCCCCTCCATCCTCCCCATCCCCATCTCCAACATCTCTCTCTTCCCCCTCACCAACAACTGGGCCCTCTACCCCGGCAACCCTCTCCACACCATCTCCGCCACCACCCCCGATTCCCTACTGAACGCATCCGTCATCGCCGCCTGCTACCTGAACATCTATCTCGATCTCGAACCCTCCCTCTCCCTCGACAAACGATTCTCCGCCACCAAAATCTCCATCTGGCAAGCCAACTACGGAGGCTTAATCCCCCTCGGCTACAACGACACTACATCCACAATCACCAGACCGGTCATCAATCTCGCCGGAATCTCATATACTCTCTACGTATCGCAAACCTCCCCATCTAATTCCTCTTCTTCTGCGTATTCGAATTCCTCCACAGTAGTAAACGATGAACCACAAGTCCCACAAACGATATACACGTGGTATCCCTCCGTCAACGCCACAACCCTTACCGCAATGGATATCTCCCCCCTGCTCAATTATCTCTGGAGAGAAGTATATATCTCGAGTAACACGTATGTGGGATTTGTAGAGTGGGGATTAGATGCGAGAAATAGTATTGGGAATGTTACGTGGAGTGTGTATGAGACGGGGATGACTGTTAAACCGGGGACGCCGGTGAGGGCTGTGGGGATGGGGAGAAGGAAGGAGGTGGGGAGGGGCGAGATGCTGGCGTTGGTGGGGTTATTTGTTGGGGCTGTGGTGCTGTTTGGGTAGGATTGGATAGGGATGGGGATGGGGAGGAGATGCGTTCTGGGGACTCGGAGGAGTGGAGTGGATGGGAAGAGATGATGTAAATCTTATTTTCTTTTTCTGTAAAATTTGGTTACATTCATGAAAATCGATCATAAGTACCTACGTAATGGAGCAAGAAATCCAAAACTCATTATGCAGAGGGTTTACAGAATAATCTCAAACCATCTAACCACGTCAAGAAGAGTTCCACATATTACGGACAAAGAATCACAACCAAGGTCATGAATGTTCTCATTATGACTTTCACTTCCAATTCGAGCAAAGGAAGAAGGAAATCAAGATGAGGGAAGCGAGGTGAATCTTCAAGTTTTTGTTGGTTGTAGGTTGTAGTTGTAGTTATATTATGATATCTGTATTGTGTATTATATTATACACCTACCTCTGTTCATCTCTCTAGACTTCTAATCTCATTTTCAACCAATTCCGCTTTCCTATTCTTACTTAACCATCTATATTAAAACAAAGTACCGTAGGAAGTGCGATGTGTCACTTGGGTATAGGTATCGACTTAGAAACAAAAATCCTAGATGAGGAAGTAAAGCAGAAGTGGAGAAATATCTCACTACCCTATATCCAAGGAAAGAGGAGGAACAAGCACCATCGCGAGAAGACATTGAGTAATTTTACACAGGATATTCCAAAAATTCTAGATTCCTACATCTTACAATTTTTTGGTCTCATCACGTCTAAGCTCTCAAAAGTGAGGTGTCTACCTCGAGATCACCATATCTATCATGTTGAAGCTATTTGTCATCTTTTTTGAAATTTGAGATTTGGTCATTTCCCTACATACACTCTTTTAGATCTTAATCTTCCTTTCAAGTTTTCCAAGGGTTTTAATGAATACAAGAACCTGAATAATATCCTAGTTGTGTCGTTAGATACCCAATTATAACAAAGGATATATCCAGTGATCTAACGAAGCCACTCACCAATATAACAAGCTCTGATTCATCCGCTACTATTCCACTGAAAACTTTCCATCAGTATCGTCGCATTTTCATTCATTTCCAACTTCTATTCTCTGTCATGTCTTATCACCGCTTCTCATATTCCCTCAGTCCAATCATTCCAAAATCTACCACGTCCTTTCCCTCTATTTTTTAGGAAATTTAACAAATCCCATCATCCTATATTTCGTAATCGGTTCCTCGTCAGCCACCATTTCAGTTGGTCTTGAGTCTCCCGGTAATTCATTTATTGCACCCGACATATATGTACTGGGCGCGGAAGTTGCAGAGTTTACTTCTGATTTGTGGAGGATGGGTGAAGTGGTAGTTGTATCATTCTGTTATGTGTTAGTATCATATAATTTTGGGAGCGAATATAAAAAAGCAAAGACGCTTTCGAGATGATGTAGCGGGTGAACTTCACGAGAACTCTCGAGGAAGAAGGAACAGAGAAAAATACTAACAGCAGTCAAAGGAATCTTCCTAACCACTCCCCTGTCCGCCTTCGAAGGATCAATCCATGCCATAACAATTGCGGCCTCCTCATCTGGCAATGACATGAACGCCATTGCGAATGAATCAGATTTAATAGTAAGTTCTCTTGAAACTGCTATTTTTCTGATGTCCAATGGACTAGAATTTAAAGCCGAGATCAAATATAAATGCCCCTTTTCATTAACCATAGCTAATTCTTTTCCCGATGGAGAGAAACTAGCGCATTGAATACGACTTCCCAACTTTCCAGATCGGTTAGGCGCAGTTCTGATATCTGTTTTTTGACCTGTTTTAGGATGGACGAGGACTGGAACACCGGATTGTGTCCAGGTCGTTATACACACCAGAACTTCTTCAATACCCGTTCTTGACCGAAAAATAGCAGACGAAAGACCTCTATCTTCTGACTCATGTAATGGAACATGATATCTACAAGAGACTAGTTCTTGAGACGATTGCATTGGAGTCATCCAAAAATATATTTGGATGGCTCCGCTTTTGGCACTTCGGGTACTGGCTAGAAGATGCATCCCATCGTCAGAGTAGGAGAGGGTTTCCACCTCCGGACAGTCCTCGCATTCACTATGAATGCGACTATGAAGTCGATCCTCTCTAGGTTCGGATGATTGAGTGGTTTTGAAAAAGTAGGACCGTTGCGTTGTGAAGCCTACTGCGACGGTGCTTTCGTTGGGGGATATGGCTATGCTGCTTGCCCAAAGATTTGGGGGTAAAGGATATTCTACAACCGGAGCTGATGTTTGCAAGTTAACTATTCTAAGCTAGCTTAGTGTCAGTAAATAGATAAATCGTTGGGAAAGTGCTATTGACCGAAAGGACATACTGTGAGCTTTGGATCTCGGGTGCCAATTATATAAGCTAAATACATTTTGGTTACAGATGCCTTATAACAGCTACTCTCCGTTGGGAATACACGGGTCATCGCGGGAGGGGATGCTCCCATATCCCAAATTTGTATCAAAGATTGAGTCCAGAATAGGCCATTTGTTGAGTTTTGTGATAAAGAAATATTGATTGCTTTAGCGCTTTTGCTTTTCGAAGTCTTTCTTGGTACTCGAACTAAGCTTTCTAAGTTTATTTCGTCCAGTCTTTGAGCCTCCAGTGCTGATGAGGAGAGTGATGTGGTTTCGACGGACTGTCCTGGAATAGACTCCTTTCGCGTTCCAGTGAAAACCGATGTCCATTTGGATCCACCTTTTGACTTTTTTCTATCAGAATGGCTCTGGCCCATTGTTGGTCGGTTCAAAAAATAGGTCCCGCCTTCAGAGTTCATTCCGTATGGGGTATGGTCATTTGGTGAAGTATTGCCAACGGAATCTGGAGAAAATGGTGTCTCGTCTGTGGTAGTAGAATTTTTCCGAAGCTCTGGTATTCTCGAGGTTTCACCTGACCTCGAACCATCCAGTGATACCAAATCAGAAGAGGAAGAAGGTAGGGTAATAGGGGTATCTAGTCTTTGGCTGAAAGTACCAACAGTAGGGGATACTTGAGACGGCATAGTGTGAGGTAGAGACCTAGACCGATCTTGAGCAGCTGCAGAGATAAAAGTTGTCTTGTTGTGAAAGGGTGAAGGTGGCTCAGTATCATATGTGCGCATCTTCACATTGCTTGCACTTGAAGTACCGTAGGCTGGATGATAGGGGATTGTTACATCCATTTTCGGCGGTGGCAGTTGGAAATATGTTGGAACATATCGTTCCAGATGCATAGCATCTGCATGAGATTCAAAGGGCTCAAGAAGATCCCAAACTTGCCTTGCAAGTGCCATCTCACGCATTATTGTAACTGGTTCTTCGCATTGAACGCATTTTGTCTTTGAGGGTAGTCTAACCTCATTTATATCTGGGTTCTCCAACTGAGCATAGAGATCATCGTCAGCATGCTATTCCATTTGCGTCAGTCCACATTCAGACTATTCCAAGTTGCTCGGAACCTTCCCAAATAATCATGTCAGAAGTTAAATTCTAGTAAAATACTTGGCGTACCGGAAATTTCAGATTCTCTAGGTATCTCATCTGTGAGGCACCAGCTAAATGACATTTTGAGCAATTGAGCGTATATATTCTCGGTCTTGACGATTTGGCATGCCGGCTTGGATCATCAAGAGCAAGAATCCTTTTCGTAATTTCAGATATAGTATGCATCATCTCCCTATCGCTCACACGACTTATGATTTGACGATCATTAAGTCGTATACATAGTGCATCTATTGCATCCAATTCCTTATCATCTATTTCTATCTGCATCGACTGTCTCCTCAAATCTGGTGTATCTGGAAGGATGATTCGATATTGATCAGTAAAAGTACCGACCAAATCTTCTTTGGAGAATCGTGTCGGTATTCGCATATTCTCAATCGCTCGTAGAACTGCATTCCTCGTTCGTTCTGATGCTGCTGGAAGATATGCATCGCGAGTTTCTCGATTTATCGTATATTGAATCGAAGCTGCGACGACGAATTGAGTAATGTCTCGAAGTGCCAGGAATTGTGCGAGCCATCCACCTCCACCAGCACCTCCTCCTCCTCCTCCTCCTCCTCCTCCTGAGCCATCTGCGAGTATAAGAGTAGATACATATTTTGTCGAGAAGCAATCGTTCAATGGATACTATAGATGAAGAAGTGTGTCAGTCAGTTTAGATTCTTAGATTTTGATTAAAAGGTTCTAGAAGGGTATGTAGAAAGCTTTAGGCCGAGCGGAGCCCCATAAGTAAGACGTTAATATAGTGGCTCTTACCAATTCTTCTGCTAAATTTGGCAGTTCATCCCTTAATTTCGAGGGTAAAGCTAGTGGGTTAGGCTCCGAACCCCGCAACGATTCAGTTATTTCTTTGCAAACCAACAACAAAAATGATTTCGGCCCTGGATAACTGTCAAACATATGTTCCAGTGAACGATGAATGCGCCCAAATCTATCTCGACGAATCTTTCTCTGCAATTCGATTTTCGATTGAGATTGTCCATCGGATGGTGGTTGTGGTAATAGCTGGAGGACACGAAGCGCAGATAATAACAGCTCGGCCAAGTACTTGTCTCTCAGTTGTCGCGACTCCCATAAACTCTCTCGCCCTTCGATAACAATGTGCAAGACAAATTCGATCATCCGCAGAGTCACCTCCCAGCTAGCCAGAAATCCAAAATACCATCCATCTTTTTGAAGCTTCGCAGATGGGATAGAGAGGCGTTGAATATAAAAAATGGCGTTGAGTTGAGCAAATAGAGTTATTACGAGATTTTGATAGGTTTCCTTATCGCCATCAGAATATACTTTTTCGAGGGAAAACTGCCCCACCAGTTCCAATATTATATTATCGACGTCGCTGCGCAGGGACAAGAGTTTCCATATGTTTGCTAGACGTGTAAATTGTGGTGATGCGGCCGAGGCTGGAGTCGGCATGGTGTGTTGATGGCATGAGCTCTCAATCTACGTAGTAGCTTCAACGATTCGAAGCAGTCTGGTCGCCACGTGGGCTGACTCCCTCAACTTGGTGCCGCAATAATGGCAAGCTTTGAGAGTATATCATAAGTATGATGCGTGTCAAAATGGACCATGAAGGGCGAAGATCATCAACTCGATCGGATCGTATTGGGCTTGTTTCCTGACGACCACAACCCGCGACCGTTTACAGTAATAGCTAGGGTACCATGAGGGATGAAAAGGGTGGTGGCCCCGCTGTCACTTCAAGAGAACGTTCAAGCAAGGTCTTTGGATAGGATTTTTTTCAAAAAGTACCCTTGTTCAGGAAGACTTGGCCCAGATTTGTCTCTTTTGCTTGATCCAATTTGGAAGGTCATCCAATCTCAGCTACGGATACAGACCGTTTCGTCTATTCGTATCTCCTGTATACCATTGGATCATTTACTATCTGGCCACCCGGAGGGCTGAAAACCCCAACCGGTATCAGGGTTTATCAAATGCAATGTAACCCACTTTAAGGATCAATGAAAATGCTGGTTGAAAGTCCACAAGGATAGCACAGACTTGGTTCTTCTTGTGGAAATTCCAGACGAAAGAACCGGCTTCAAAAATAAATCTGACATTAAGGTTTTTCGGGATTGATCTTATTCCAGAACTTTATCTTCTGTATTTGACTGGTTAGTTTGAGAATCGGTGTTTTCTTCCTGTTTGAGGTTCATATTTATCCGGTTTTATACATTGTAACCATATTGTAGGAGTATATTTTGTCACGAGGTTGAAACAAAGTACTACTCAAAAGAGCAGCGGATGCGGGGGTCCCTGTAAGTAGGCACCAGCTTTGTGCCATATAATTAGTGGTCCCTTCTATGTGGTTACATTAGACCTTCCGCCCGTACAGGGGCTAAATAATGCGGAGGATTGTCTACATCGAGGCAGTGCAGATATATATGATTCTGGGCGACCCTGATTCCTTCGACCTCTTTTGCGCGAATTGTCATAACATTTTTGACTCGAAATTTCGACCGCAACGTTGTTACGATGGATCATGAAAAACCTGAAGCGGTGATTCCACCGCAAATATTCGAATTCGATATCGATCACACTCGAAGTCGGACAAGTCCAGATGCAGAGCCCAATTACCCTGAAGACCGTCGGGAACGCCGAGGGGAGAGTTTATGGTGCGCTAATCTGTAACAATTAATCTTTGCGACCACTAATTATCATCAGGAGAACACTTGGTGAACGGCACATTAACGTGAGTTGCTAAGCTATAGCCGAACTTTTATTTATCAGAAACAATGGCTAACGACGTATATCGTGTGCCAGATGATAGCGTTTTCTGGGTACGTTTCTCCAAATCAAATTCTACCCAAGCATATCAATAACGTAATATGGCTACAGGACAATTGGAAATGGACTTTTTCTTGGTAGTGGTCGATCTCTTGCTGGAGCTGGGCCAGGCGGCGCCGTCATGGCGTACATTATTATGGGAACAGTGGTTTCGTCTGTTATATCTTGCTTAGGTGAAATGACTGCTCTTATGCCTGTCAATGCCCCAGTCGTGGAGTTTCCTCGAAGATTCTTAGATCGCGGCGTTGGGTTTGCTGTTGGGTGGATGTATTGGTGAGCAAACTCAATCATGATACAAATCGAGAGAGAATATTGACGATCAGAAGGTTTGCATGGGCTGTCACTGCCGCAGAAGAACTAGTTGCTGTTTCTGGAACTCTTGGATTTCATTATGATGATGGAAGAACATTTCTAGCTTGGAAAATTGGGGAAAGTGTCGACCCTGCTGTTTGGATTGGATTGTTCCTAATAATTGTTACTGCTATCAATATGTTTCCTGTCAAAGTGAGTATTCAGCAGCACCCACTAATCATTACCGCTACTGATCAAAGCACAGTATTTTGGAGAATTAGAGTATGCTTTCGGTTGCATCAAGATCATCTTTATCACAATGGTCATTGTTTTGATGCTTATTCTTGACACTAAGCAACGTACGTACAGTATTCTTTTGTTGACTATTGTGCGCTGACGCCCCGATAGCTAGTTCAGATGCTTATTATACATCACCCCCAAACTCTAAATGTGAGCATTCATCACCGCGAAGTGCTATGCTTTTTCACTGATTCAATATGTTCAGATTGGTGTCATCCGTGGGGATTTTTCAACCACGCCTACTCCGTTCGAGATGAAGAAGGAAACCTGCAGCGAAAAATTGAAGGCCCCGCTGGCTCATTCCTTGGGATGTGGTATGTCGAATCACGATCTCCAGCGCCTATCGATAGCTGATCATCTCTACAGGACAACTATCATTAACGTAATCTTCTCATATACTGGAATGGATATTGTAGCAGCAACTGCCGCAGAGTCAAAATCGCTTGCTAATGCTGAGAGCATGAAAATGGCCGCAAGAAAGATTTCCATTCGTATCGTCACTCTCTACACCATGGCTATGATTACAGCATCTTTTATAGTGCCATATACTCATCCTTTCATCAATGGAAAGGGGCAATCGGTTGGCGCGCACTCCATTTTTGTTATCGCAGTCGTCGAAGCGGGACTACCAGCTCTGGCCCATTTCTTCAACGCCATCTTCGCTTTTGCATCCTTTACTTGCGCCATCAATTCTATGTATGTGGCATCGAGAGTCTTACATACTTTGGCTTTACAGGATCAGGCGGGACCGGAATTTATTGCTAGGAGATTAAGGCAAACTAGATCGGGGGTTCCAATCAGAGCGGTATTAGTAACGGCTGCTATGGCTCTGGTGGCTTTCATGGGTAGGACTGGCACAACTGCAATTGTGAGTACCTATACCCATCCTTTTATTTCGATACTTTGAGAATTAATTAGGAAACATAGCGACTAAGTGAATTGGCATCAAACTGCACTTCTTCGATTCTTATCGTCTACGCCACGATTTGTGCTACTTATCTCGGATTTTTTCGGACGTATGTCTCAATTTCCTTTTTTCCTCTTGCTTTTTTCCAACCGTTAGTGTTTCATTCATGCAGCCGACTAACGCCACAGATGACAGGCTCGAAGATACCAAACTCTATGGAAATGCATCGGAAAGGCAAGCAGCACATTATGACCGCGATCATCCCCGTTACCCATACAAATCACACGGTCAATGGCTTAAAGGGTTTTACGGTATGGCTGCATGTATTATTCTCGTTACTTTTAACGGTGTTTCTGCATTCCTTGAAAGACCTTTTGATGTTAGAAGATTCATTGCGAGTTATGTATCTGTATGTTTTAGCTTCCCTGGCTCTCCTATTGACTTTGTTGAACTAATATTGAACAGATCCCGGTGTTTATTCTTCTGATTATAGGCTATAAAATTAATAAACATGGACTGAAAATACGAAATTGGGGCCCGGAAAGATCAAATGATTTGAGGAACACGATCCAAGCAGCGAGTGAGAAGAGAAAGGGAAGACTAGAGTTTCCGGATGAGGGAATTAGTATGGAGAATTTCAAGACGTGGGCGCATTGGATGTGGGTATGGACAAGATAGGTTGTGCTGGAACACGACGAGCGTGATGAGGCTTTTGGAACTTCGTATTGGGATTATGATTAAATGAGATCGGCTTGGGTATCGATCGGAAATGGAGAGATTATTGAGGCTCAAATAATATTGTTTTATGAGGCTGCTACGGAACTACAGGATGGGAAAGAATACAGGATACAGGGATGGGATAAATCAGCAAATGGAACAAGATTGGCGTAAAGGCGCCGAATAGGTCGACGGAAAGAATATTGCACAGTATCGATTCATCAAAAATCATTTTTATAATCTAGGGGGGACACTTGGGAGTGAGAACTCCTGTTAATAATGAACCTCATTTAGTATATTAGTGTTAGTTAGCGCGCTAAGTAATATATCAAAAATCAAATAAACTACTATAAATCATCTTACTCAAGCTTCATCAAAAACACTAAAGCATCACTAGCAACCGGCTCAGCCCTATGCTCGTACCATAGCCTACCGGTATGTAGTCTACCCTGCCAACTAACTCTTGCGAGGTTGAATTCGGTATATATCTTGTGTGTAAACGCACGACAGATATAGGCAACAACGGTGATATTACAATGGCTTGCATGATTGTATGATTGCACGGTATGCATGTATGCATGTATGCATGTATGCGAATGTGCATTTGAATATAATGAGGATGAGGATGCTGTGATATCCTTTTCTGGGGGGAATATCACTCACTTACTGACTATATTCATCTAATTCGGTGTCGATAGTTGTTTATGTGTTTATATACGTATTGAGGTGTACTGGGGCATATGTCTATGTAAGAATGTACAGGTATGTGTACATTAAATAGGATTACAATGATGAGTTCATCTGATGTTTTATGTTTGATACCTGTTTGTGTTGGATGCTGGGCCGGTAGGGACTGTAATGGACAGGCGGGAGGAGAATAGGACGGGAAGGAGAGCGGGAAGGGGAAATGCGATGGGATGACGCGAAATTGAATCGGGACCGGGGTGATTGATGAGAGAAAAGCCGATCTTACTTATGGTAACATGGGTAGGTGTGATTCGAAAACGGTACGGCATCTATTAGATGGATGAGGAAATGGGTGTTAGCGGTGGAGGGTTAAGTGACTTTGTAGTCTAATGCTGTGTAGTGGTTGATGATGGAGTCGCTCAGGGATTAGGATGATGGTTGGCTACTGGATGGGAATGGTGACAGGAACAGAATGACTGCTAGTCACTGATCCATATTGCTAGATAAGCCGTGAATCAATGCATGATATAAAAAGTCAGTCTTGTGCTCCCCAAACGGATAATATCCATCAAATAAGCTAGACCTTCGGTCTAAAATCATACATGCTTAACCAATCTAGGCATAAAAGCAACACTTTGGAACTGATTTCCACGGAGAATATCCATTCACCTATTCATTTCCTGGTCTGCACAACATGTGGAACGGCATAAGATAATCATGCGTTCATCTATCTGCCTTGCCGAGTAACCTCATATCGGTATTAAAATCTCACCATACCTTTCTGCCCAAGATAAATTAAAGTCGGGGTGCAGTGGAGGCTCAAGGATAGGCCTCGTGCGCGATGTAATGTAGTGTTATGCTGTGCTGTGCAGATAACTTTATTGTTTATTGTATTGGATTATATGAGATTATGGTGTGGTGTAATGTATGAACGCAGTGTTGTATTTTGCTGTGTTGTGGTGTGGTAAGGTAGTAGTGATAACTAATTATGATGGTGTACATGTGAGAAATTCGTATAACATCCATACAAAATGCGCTGCTCGTATATCTAACTAATAAATTGATTATAGTTTCGGCAGTTGCGATAATAACATGTGTTCGCTTGTGTACGAAATTGCCAATGCTTTATCGCATGATGTTTATTTCTCAAATGTACCGATTGGTTGTTGGGGGTGGGAAGTGGAAGGATTTCTTCAACTTTTGTCGCCATCCTATCGCGATCCTTTTAATTAATCGGTGATGACTTGCTACTGTAAGGCGGGAGGGGTCATATCAAAATCATCGCGGTGGCTGTATGGTGTCACAACTTTGCATCCTTCAATTCGTTTCTTTTGTGTCAGAGATTAGCGTGCAGAGAAAGTGGCTTGAAGGAGTCAAGTAGACGGTATAGAATGAAATGCCACTGGCGCTTTGCGATACAGAATCTGTAGTATAAGGAAGTGGGCGGGAGGGATGTGTACTTCTGATGTATAGGGAAAGACATTATGGAGATGATTAGTGATATGTGTATCACTGGACTGACTGATGTAACAAACGAATTAATCTGTCTCCTAAAATCAGCCTACACGGTGTATGTCACACCTTTCCGTACATTTCCTATTGTAAATTTGCGAGAGGCCCAAAAGTTAGAGGTATCACAAATCCAAATAAGCCGAGGATAGAAAAAGAATAAATAATAGTAGCAAAGCCACCACGTGGAACAAAGTGGCTTTCCAAGGTTGTTACTTGCATTTATCCTTACGAGGTTGGGTACTTAAGGGGTTGATTGGTGAAGAGGTTCAGTGAGATGGGTTGGGTATGATTGGCTGATATATTGTGGAGTTATATCGTAGAAGATAAAAAAAGAAAGGAGAGGATGATTGGTGTTGAATAAGATGACCAGTCGTATATGCGTGAGTTCGGGTCCAGAAATATAGAATGAGGGATTGCACATGATTTCTTTGAACAGAAACGCAGAGAGCTAGATAACGATTTCAGGCACATCTTGCTACCTAGTCGCGCGAGTAAAGAAAAAATGTGCATGCGCAAAGCCAGATTCTCTGTGAGGATAGGAAAGAGATGCAGAAGAATTAGCGTTCACGGTGTAATGGACCATAATTACTGAAAATAAACGTATGGTTATCATGACTCAACCGGGAAATGTACATGGACGGCCACAAGGAGCCAAAGTAATGAAGAAACTAAGCAATATTTGCCCCAACGATCTGAACCAAGAAAACTAGAGTTCGGAAGTGAAGAGAGGATTTGCAGCGCTCTATTTGTGACGGGGATACGAAGTCGGAGAAGAGGTATTTAAGGGGTGGAATAGGTACGTTTTGGTAGTTAGAAAATCCCCGCAAATTCCAGTTGGCCCAGTGCTGACCGTTTCTTACCAACAAAACCTATGAATACGTGTCATATCTCCAGATTAGGTTGCATCCGAATACTCATGGATGGTTAGTGATGAGTCGACTCATATACCGTGAATTTCTCTTTGCCTTATAGTCACTTCGATGACAGACAGCTCTCTCATCGTTTGATGTTTCCAATGCTATCGCAGCTTGCCAGTGCCTGCATCCGATATTGGATCGACCAATATTTCTGGTCAGACCGAGAAGTCTAAGCGCATGTGTTAATGATCTTGCTGGCTCGACTTCCTCGAGATAGCTTCTGAGATTATCGAGTGTGGCAATTGTACCACCTGTGAAAATCCTGTTGGTTATAACATAGCATTTCTTTATGGTGTAAATGAGGATGAAGCAAGAAAACTGAACTATTGTTCATGCTTGAAATATGAAAAGCTGTCTCTCATAAACTGATTCTAAGAAGGTTCACTGATGACTAGAAGTGATATGAAGACAGACAAATTCTTCTGTTTGATCCTTCACAATTTGTCTAATAAAATTGTTTCTGATGAGACTTTAAAGAAGAACCAATAGACTCCAAAAGTGCCCAGCAATCATCATCGTCAAATCTGTTGATGTAGGATAGGTTGTTGAATGAAAGATGTAAAGTGTCTGAATTTGGTTTGTATTGAATTAGAAAATTGCATAAGGCGCTCGAACCTCTTCGGCTAATGTACTTAAAGAGGCAAAGTAAGATTGAATCGTCAATCTAGTGTGTCTGCTTCCAAACTTTATTTTTCGTTTGTTTCAGAATGGAGGGGTTTCAATCTTTATTTGGAAGCAGAGAAATCAACAAAACAACCAAAACTGTGTACAAAATTCAAGCTTTTGATGAGATTTTTGACATTAATGGGTAAGTGAAGTCCTCCTGTCAGTTTCCTATGAAATTCCAATTCAACATCTGCTCTTCAAATTATTGGTGGGGAAAGGCTTGCAGACTGGTTATAGCAGGTCTGCTATTTCATTCTGTTGTAGGTATTCTCATATTGATGACTTTTTCTTATTATTAAAGAGTAAATTTGATCATCAGTTGATCACCTACACAAATTTTTATGCGTTTGTTTCAGCAGCTTCCTGGCAATTTTTTCCGAAAATACTTCGAAGGAGACACAAGAGCTAAATAAAAAAGAGTCCATTTACTAACTTTTGTTTTCCAACTTAGACCTGCCATGTTTGAATTCGCAGTCTTCCATAAAAATGACGCGCGGAAGCAGAATGAAACCCTCTCCACTTCAAACCTCAAAGTTCTCAGTTGACTACTCGAAAGAGCCAGAAAAGCCTGAAGTCGATTCAAATAGCAAGATCGACAGCATGCGAAAGGAGAGCGAGACCGCTGATGCTGAGGTCACTGCTGCAGGTTCCACAAGGGGAGGCGAAGTTGGTTGTGATAATTGCTCATGTTCGCGGCGGCTGGTATGAACAGACTCTACGTTCTGGTAAAAGATTAGAGCCTCCGACGATAGATGGTGGTATCAGAGGATACCAATGTGGAGTTAGTAGAGTGATTGAGGAAGAATGTCGCAACAAATACATGGGAATTGTAACGGCTCACAATATGTAAGTTGAATGATAGTCAAGCTCTCGGTCATCAACTAATCGATGCACCTGTAGAAGAGTCCAAGAAACATCGAAATGATCAGCTTTATTCACGAAATACCTCAAATACAGCTGTTCATTTCCATCTAATTTAAGCTTCATGGCCTAATAACCTTAGCGACGATCTTATACCCACAATTCAGACGTGCCGCCGTTGGCTTTATAGCCTGCTGGTAACACCATGGACTCAATACCAAGGCAAGCTAGAGTCTTGAAATGACGCTTAAACATAAACATTGTCTGGAATATCAAGGTATGAAGCCTTTGTTTAACGCTTCATATACTGTGCGGGGTAGACCGAGTACGTTCTGCTAGTATAAGCCAAAAAGATCAAGAATTGTGAGAAGCATGCTCTAGAATTACTTTAGCTAGCTCACCATCTGATATATGGTGTATTGGTTTCTTTCGGAGTATCACAATTTAGTCGCTTAACTGGGCCTGGCCAAAACAATCAAAATTGCCAGCATAATTTCTCGATGTGACAAGTGGACTGAGGGACATGGACGCCATCAGCAGCACTTCTTGGCTAAATGTATCAGTATAATGTCTACTATAGAGATTCCCACCAAGTTCCAAGCCAACATGAGCACGGAGATCGACTATCTCCTTACCAAAAATCTATGATGGATCTTCGGCCGATTTCCGAACTAACGGCAGTATCTCTGGCACCTCTACCTTTGAAGCTATGAGCTCTCATGCTGGTGATGGATCTGTAGGATGGCGAGGACTTTATATCTACCTCGACTTAAAGACATACAGTAGGTTTCAAGAGAAGCGAATGTGTGGAGCTTGCCTAGAACCAGAATGAGTCCTGCTGTCTTGGTTCAGTGTTTTGATTTCAAGATTACACAATCAGGATAGGTAGTCGCTTTCGTCTCGGCTTTGGGAACGCTCCAAATATTAGGTACCTGCTATATCAGCTGTAGGTGCTATAGTGCGAGTAGATCATCTATCACCTGATTAGGCTCTTGAAGACAGCTGTCTTGGAAGCAACAGAGCTCATACTTACACTGCGCCAGTGTTGTATCTTCGAAGTTTGACGAAGTGAGCTCTTTGGATAGAAGATTTCTAGTGGAACTTTTGACTTCGATGCTTTATCGACTCAGTTATGGTTGGAGGCCTCTCTGTAATTCTTGAGGCTGGTATAGTGACATGCAACCTGGAAAGAAACTAGCCCGCTCATAAATGATGTGTCTAATGTTCGATACAAGCTAGAAGTACCACGGTCTTTGAGCACACCGAAGACAAGGATTTTGAGGCAGCTAAGTCAATCATCGAACTTAGTGCCTGTCGTGGTCAAGCTCCTCCCAATCTCAAGGTCTCCAAAAACGCTGCAGAACATTGAAGTGATAGCCAAGTTTTAGCCTGTCTCGACCCGTTGTGTTTTGAAATTATCTTGCGAATGCTCCTGAAAGCTATATGTGGAATCTTGAGAGACTGTGCAATTGGATTCGAGCTACCTATACTCGCAGATTGGCGATATTTGATGTGAAATTAGTAAGTTTTTGGAAAGAGCGAAGAGAAAATATGAAAAAGAGTTTTGATACTGGCAGGACCTCAGAACAAGTCAATTGCTTCCATCAATGCCCATATGGACCGGCTTTCTCAAGGGTTTGTCAGGCTCTGAATTTGTAAGATGAAGGTTTTAGTCTTAGAGAGACAACCTTGAGACTCAGAGAATCACTTCTTCATAACGGCTTACACTAAGGCGCGGCTCCTTGCCTGGATCCGCAGGAAGATTGTCTCTGGTCTATATCAAGTAGTTTAATGAACTAACTGATATTAGCTCCAGCGAGTTACCTTCGCATCAGTACCGATGCGTTGAGATGAATCTGAGAACATGGCCCCTTTTTAGAAACCGGGTTTCGCTAAGAGCCCTTTATAATATGGCTCAAGTTAACGTAAGGATCAACGATTCTGATTCAGTAAAACCGCTACTGAAAAGAGGTGGTCCTGTCTTTCAACCCAGATTCAAAATGAGAGCAAGGCCATCGAGAAGTAAGAGGCGACAGGCTGCCACAAGTATTGCAGACGAGAGCTAAACCAAAGCTGCCGGTTTGAAACAGAATTGAAATCCATACAGTTATTACGATATTGTCGATCAAACCGAAGTAATCACCTTTCGAGGTCTAATTAGCTCTCGCAGCTTGAGAAGAGCGGTGATGCCATCGGTAATCATTGATCGCGTCGAACGACCCCCGTTTCCTCTCCTTTAATCGTGAACTCAAACAGTCCTTTCCGAAATCTTCAGTGATTCTTCTTCGAAGAAGGGAGAAGGTGCCAAATGGTCGCTATTGCCGTAAATCGCCAGCTCTCTCTGCCCATTCTAGCAACCCAATGACACTTCTCACCGGCAATCCAATATTTATGAGTCGATGAGTAGATTGGTTCAGGCTACTAAAGAGGAAGGGAGCCATGGGCTAGCCGATCAATGGCGCTCAGATTTATCGAGAGGCTAGGTGGAGGCATCCGTTCTGCCGACTGTGGACGCTCACTAACTCTCCCTGCTGGAACCCTAATTATGAGCGGTCTTCTGCGCGCGCTCTGTGGTTCTCGAGAATGAGTCAAGTCCCAGAGCTAGCAAGGCAGCTATGGTTACATTGACGGTCGACAGCAAAAATTGCGGCCTTTTCCCCTCAAACCAAGTGACGCGACGTTATTGTTGCCGCTGTCAAGCCTGCCACACCGATCAGTAACTTAAATTAGTGGCATGTTCTCAGGAAAGCTTAGATATCTCGTGCGGATATGGGCTTTGAAGAACTAAAGGATCGCTAGCCCAAACTTTCATTTTTCGAAAATGTTTCCAGTATTCCTTTACCTAACTATCACTTCTAATTCTTCTTGAGAAACAAGTGCAGGTTATTGTTGATCGAATCCCCTCTGCGATCAAGGAAGAGTATCAGCTGCTGAACGAGATGAGAGGGCTAAGCCGGTAGCAGTAGGAATCAGCCATCCGTAAAGACGAAATTCGATGGTCGAGTTGTCTTCTTCGTTTCTATTGCTATTTGAGTGAATTTTGAAGGAATTTCGTTATATGGGTGGACTTGGTGAAAGGCTTTGAGAAGCTCAGATATGAATGTGCAAGAAGATACTCCCCAAAGGTAACTTTCAAGAAAGTCAAAGAGAGGTGTTGCATAGTTCCGAAAGTAGAGAATACAACCAAGTTCGTAGCAATTGGTGGTGTTGGAAGAGAACCTACACATGGGCGATACTTCAAGCTGGCAAATTTTGCCGAAGAAGTATTTATCGTCGATGCTTAGGTGTTTCTGTCATTGAGTGAAGTTTATGATTGTCCTTTTATGGTTAGTCAATTTATTCCAGCTATCAACACAAAAATAGACATCAACGTGGTGACCATCAATTACCAAAATTATCACCACAAAACAAAAGCACTGTCTTGTTTTGATCACATTTTCCAACAACACAACTTCACATCCTCGAAAATCAATCTCTGCCTAAAGTTATTTCCAGATACAGCGGATTCGATCATATCTTCTCCACTTCATTCTCATCGAGAATAAAAATGACATACAATAGAGACGAAGCCTCTTATCCCGCTACCTCATCCCGTCCATCAGACGCTCCATACGAATACTATGGTTTGACGTACAAAACATGGTGCGACTATAAATATCCTCAAGAGCCATTGGATACTGTAAATGCGCAGTTGGCAGCAGCCACTGGCAGATTAGGACCAACTCGCACCGATTCTCTTCCTTCCCCTTCTGTCATGCCTCCAGGGTCGTCTAATCTCCCTCAAAATGCTCCTCAGTATCTCTCTAGTCCATTAATTCCACAAATACCTATCGATCCAGCCATATGTGATGATATTGATGACACCATGGTCCTCGATAGCCCCAGACCAGTGGCGGCAAAATTACGAGCTCGAGTATCAGGTCCTTCCAGAAGTCGTTTGTCCACTGTAGCCACGCGTCCAGCCGAAGACGCCACTCCTGTCGGCACTAATTTCGAAGAGAAACCAGACCCTATCCGCGCTGCGATCATGGCAAGATTAACCAGAGACGCAAGAACAGCAGTTCTTCCTTCTGATGTCCCACACCGTAAACAACTTGACCTTCTGAGGGGTATGCCGTTGCGCAGACAACTCTCTCTACGAGAACCACACGACTTTTTTCATCGCTCGCGTCCTGACTACTGGGATGCAACAGCCGGATATCTAGTGGGCGAAGTAGCCCCTGAGCCTTGCAGCGGCTGTAAAGCCGGTAATGGGCGCTTTGCGGAGTGCATTGTGATTCCACATCAATCTAACGGGGATAGACAGCCACTGGGAGGAGTTTGTGTGAGTTGTGCTTATCAAAGCTCAGCGGGAAAGTGTTCGTTCCATCCAAAGTAAGTTACCACACGTTCATTGATCGGCCGTTCTGTTTTTCGGCTTTCTTAATTCTACAATGTATTGGAAGGTTCTAACTATTTGTTTGTCGAATAGTTACAAGCAATTGAAAGGGAGAACGAAGAAGGAGCGCAAAGAGCGATAATAGGACGCGTAGGAGCGACGATTGATTGGTTTTTTGGTAAACCAATTGAGCAAAACTCTTTGAGCCCGATCTTGAGCTCGAAGCTTCTTTTTTCCTACGATAGCTCTGTCCACCTTTTTGCTTTTCGCCCGTTTTCCTCTGTCGCCCTTAGCCACCACTCAGTTTCCTTCGCAGATTCTCGCTGTTCTTGTTTTACAGATTGTCGTCAGTACAATCGAGACTTTTCTTCGTATCTGGTAGCCAACAAATCATACCCAAGAGCTCAGTAGTGTCATTTTGAACGAAACTGGGTCCCTGTTTGGTGGATTAAAAGCGCAACTTCATTCAGGACATTTTCCCAACTCTAAATTATTCGATACAAGCAGATATTCTGGGTATTTCTCTCGCTGTCTTCGCACTCCCCTCGGACATAATCGCTGTCTACCTATCGTCTCCTGGTCTTTCGTCCCACTTCCTTGTACCCGCATATCATCTAGGCCATAGTCATCTTCTACTGTCAGCGTCTGATCCGCCATTACTCAATCTTTTTCATCCTCCGGTGTGTCCAAAGGTCTAATACAATAGCAGCTGGACGAGTCATATCACTAGGCGACTGGTACAGAAAGACGACTTGACTTGCTGTCTGGTTCAGTACAGAGAGGAGAGCACACCTATACATGCTGTGTTTGGTTACTGAAAGGATTGGAAGTAAAAGTATTGGATAGGGCGAGTGGGATGTATAACTGCTGGCGGTTATTTTTCTTTGTTCTCTCTGGTAAAGTTGAGTTTATGACGTGGATTCTATAGTTTAGATACCCTATTTGATGAAGTTTACTCTGAATTGCTTTCATGTTTAACCATATATTGTTTCTGTGCATACTGTGCTTTATCTGCTTTCTCATTTGGAGAGTCTTGTGTTGTATGTCTATTGTATAGAAACTAGTTAATCAATGACTGAGAAAGTAGAATTGACAACTGGAGAAAAGAGGTGATGCAAATCTGGAAGTTACTATTCTTATTACTATCCTTCTATCATTCCTCTTCTCACCATCCCACTCTATTTTGAGCCTTCTTCCTTCTTTTGATTGATATCTACAGCGTAGTCCATCTCGTATGCATGTTATTTTCAGTCTTTATAAGATTACCAGTCACATGTAGCATTGTCACATCATAGCAATCGCAATCACTTCCAAATTTATCGAAATACTCCATACGCATGTAGCATTGTGATATACTGTGTGTGTAGTATGGTGTAATGTTCGTCTTTTCTACATACCTAGAGTCCTGTACTTTAACGTGTGGATGAACTTATAATGTTTAAAGTAGTCGATAGAGTTTATTCCTATGATAATGGTGGTGTTGAAGAGAAGATATATTGTTGAAGCCATATTCGACAATGGTGTATATCTTTGTCTCCTGATTGGGGGATGGTCACGCCCAGAGACTCTTGGGTTTTCGAAATCGATTACATTCTTTGAGCTCTTTAGCAGCTACTGCCTGTGCTGGTGCTGACGCTCGTGCTGATCCCAACGGCAATTGCCCAAGGCCCAGCTGATTCCGTGCCGGGTTCGGAAGTGATTGTCTACATAATTTAATGACATACCCCATCCAAAAATTCCCAGCGGCCGCTTGGCACATTGGCTGGCCCTGATGAGCGCCGATGATTGAGTTCTAGAGTCCATAAGTCGACAGATATCACCTCTCGCATGATAATTTCGACTCACAGGTTGCAAGTTTGTACCGAAAGCTTGGAACCCATTGAATTGATAATGTTGTTAATTGGGTACGTTCGATGCTTCCACGTGGGTCTACCATATTTGTGGCCTTTTTTGTTCCGGCAGCTTTTGGTAATCATGTATATGGGAAGTGTTGAGGTCTCAAAGGCGTTGAGAGTTCTATTGTTTCACGACATTATAGCTGTCATTATTATTACCTCATATTCATGGCACCTGAACTAGGATAGTGCAATGGGATTATGAACAATTGAACATTGTATCATAGTCTCTCTCCCTTCTGATTTGATTCACAAATTATCGTGATCCAAGAAAGTTTATAATGTACTATTGAAGTCTCACCGTCTCAGGCCTATACCTTACAAGAAGCTTTTAGCGAGAAGCTACTGCGCTGGGCACACGACTAATAAGCGCGGCACATCAGAATCGACATAAAATGCTCTTAAATCTATGAAATCCCGATAAAGTATATTTTTAAATTCAGTTCGATTGTTGATTATCAATTCTTCACTTTAGATTTTGCTATTGAGAATTGGGAGGTTTAAAACATTGATTCATTTTAAATCTCAATTAGTATTTTGATGAAATAAATGCCGAACAAACATGTCCCACTTATAGAATTGCCAGGGTCTCTTCTTTCCTGGTTTACCCCTCAGTCACACGCACCTACCCCACTTACTCTGATCTGCCGAAATGTCCCTTCCCCAGTCCTACATCAGTTCACCATTTCCCCAGATTTTATCTAATCTATGATGTGTTCGTGTTTCCTTTATTATCAACCAGAGTCCTGCGTTCTACGATGAATGTAGGACAGAGACATCTGAACTTCAAATATTCGTCATCCTGCATCAGACACCACAGAATCCAACAGTATTACATGAAATATATATAAAGAAAGATTATAATCTATCTGTGAACTTTCTTACGACATCATTACGTTCTGGAACGGCTTTAAATGCCTTTGGATGCTGTGATTATCTGTTGATCGATACAATCGCATTGCTTGGATACCTTCCATATTCAAAATTCCACTCGGAAATTCCTGACCAACTCGATTCTTCCCACAATGTCGAACCTTGAAGGTCGAGCTCTATTTACAGCCGTGACATCTTTAACATGTCTTGGATTTCTTCTCATAGGATACGATAATGGATTGATGGGAGGGTAGTTTCCATTCCATACATTCTCACCGCATTTCTTTGATCTTATACGCTGCCATTGAATCTCTTTAAACTAACAGTTCAGCGCAGACTCGTTAATGCAACAGGGTTCAAAAATACATTCAACAATCCTGACCCCACCATCGTCGGCCTGATCGTCGCTATCTATGAAGTCGGGTGTTTCCTCGGGAGCGTGGCTACATCTTTGTTTGGAGAGAATATTGGAAGGAAGAAATCAATTGGAATAGGAGTAGTGATCATGATTATTGGGGCACTACTGCAAGCATCAGCTTACTCGAGAGCTCATATAATCGTTGCACGAGTGGTTTCTGGGGTTGGGATGGGATTTATAAATAGCACAGTTCCTGTTTTCCAAGCAGAGTTCAGTCCTAAAGCAACGAGAGGATTGTGTAAGAAAAAACCGAATGTCTAGAAGAACCACTATGCTGACTATAACAAAGACGTCTGTATGCAGTTATCGACTTTGAATTTTGGAATATTCTTAGCTTATTGGGTTGATTACGGCTTCACGCAATCATACACTGCCTCGTTTTCTTGGAGAGTACCGACAATTCTCCAATGTATGTTCTTAGTACCAATGCTTGGTTTACTCGCCATAGTTCCTGAATCTCCTCGATGGCTGGCTGCGCACGAGAAGACGGATGAATCCTTAAATGTCCTCGCTCGATTACATTCATATCACATGACAGAGGAGCAAATAAAATCTTTACATATAGATATTGTCCGCACTTGCGAGTTCGAAAAATCACTGGGAACAGGCTCCTGGAGTGATCTGTTCAAAAATGATGCAATCCAATCGCAACGGCGCTTCCTGATTGCATGCGCCATCCAATCTTTCCAACAATTAGGCGGGATAAACGCATTGATATACTACTCCAATACTCTTTTCTCGACATCCCTAGGATTCTCGGATCATCTCAGTGCGCTTATGTCTGGGTTTCTCCAAACTTGGTTCTTTGCCGCAAGTTTCATCCCTTGGTTACTTATTGATCGAATTGGGAGGCGCCCTCTACTTTTGTCAATGATTTCGATCATGTCAATAGTAATGATTGTACAAACGGGATTGATTTATAACGTGCAAAATAATACATCAATTGCCAAAGGCTGTGGTATTGGTGCGGCGGTGATGTTGTTTATTTTTGAAGGGGCTTTCACTATTGGATTCCAAGCGACAGTGAGTACTTTTCATATTTTTGATTACTTTACGAATAAACTCGCCAGTTTCCTTGAATCTTTTAAAGGCTCCATATTTCAAAAATTCTACCTACTCCATTTATTCTATTTGCCATTACTAATAGTCACCGACCCTCACTCCTAGGTCTGGGTCTATCCTTCTGAAATCCTTCCTCTTCGTCTTCGTCAACGAGGTTCCTCGGTCTCAACAGCATGCAACTGGATTTTTAATTACATGGTCGTACAATTTACTCCAATTGCATTAAACAATATAGGGTATAAAACCTACATAATATTCGGGGTACTAAATGCGTGCTGGATTCCAATCATATATCTCTATTTTCCCGAAACCAAAGGACTGGAATTAGAAGATGTTGATAAAATCTTTGAGAGAAGCCATGGAGTGATCGAGAGATTGGGTGATCTAGAGAGAGATGATGAGGAGTCTGGGGGTATAAGTGCGTTGGATGAGGAGCGCAGAAATACCGGTTCCGAGAATTGCAGTGGAAGCGGGAGTGGTAGTGGTAGTAGCGTTGTTAATCAGAGGAAGTTGGGTATTGATACTGGGAAAGGAACGAAAGAAGAAATAGAGCGCGTGACGAGCGAATAGCATTCTTATACCGATGGGCGCTGAGATGGGTCTGTAGTTGAGAATTGGGTTAGAGTTTGTGTATATCCGTGTCAATGGTGAGTGAGTCAAGAGATGAGAGTGTGGGTCTTGTACGAATACTATTTTGCGGTTTGGGGGCTCTGGCGTTTAAATTTCATCATGCGATTGACGCTATGATGGGATGGGGAGAGATGAGATTGGATTCACGATAGAATGTCGGCGGGAGGGAGTCATAAACGAACAATGTACAAATGAGTGGCTTTTCTTGTATTCGAGATCACTTTGATTATTGGTATACTGCCTTCGGCTGATCCTCTAAACACAACTTTAAAAGCTATTTACTTCATCACCACGGTATTTCCCCCCAATATTGCGCACAAGAGTATGATTTGCTTATTTTGACCGATGCAGAACATTCCTGTGCACAGAAGAGGTAGATTTTCTGCACAATCGAACAGACGTTGATCGACAGAAAGCAAAATAGTAGATCAAAACTCCACTATCTGTTTAAGAATACATATTAGCAAGATTTCAATCTTTTCAGAATAAAGGAATACTTACATCAGACGCAATACTTGCACACGATGTATACAAAAAAAGCGACAACCAACACGATCATAACTTGACTCATGAATAGACTGAATCGAGCCTCCTTCCTTTCCTTCTTCAGACGTTTCTGGCGCTCCTCAATATACATCTGTCGGTACAGTTGACGCTCCTCTATAAAAATCTTGAGATGCGCTCGGCGCTGCTCGATGTACATCTGTAATTCTGTCTCTCGATCGGTTGTGTATTCGGCAAAGGCCTCATCTTCTCTCATGCTTGCGGCAAGATCTTCGATGATTCTTTGGGATTGTGGATCCATTTCGGGATATGCTTCGTTGTTGTTCATCTTGTTGGGTGGAGTTGATGGTTTGATCTTTGACTTTGTTTTGGAATCATCTAGATAGAAAGAGAAATGTTTTTATATTTCATGAGCTTGATAGATCAGGAAACTAGAACTGAGCAAGTGTCCTTAATAGATATTCACCAATTTTGAAGAATTTGGAAACGATCAAATTCCATTACGGTGTGTGAATAAGAACTCAATTTTACCATCTCTGATATAAGAGAATGAAGTAGCCGGTAGCCAAAACCGTATCATTATTTCCAGACCAGATTCCCTTTTCTCGTGTCGGGTGTGGTACTAACCTCAATACGTGGGTTAACATCAAACCATCAGGTTACAGAACATCTCGTAGCGATCCTCTTGTACCCCCTCAATTATTCTATCCCATATATTCACATAAACAAGCATACAGCTGTCTCCAACCTCTAGGAATGTCTGTTAAATCTTTACTAAAGTGCTAAATATCAACTAGGGACAAGTGATTGACATAATCATGCAAAGATATTGTGATTCGAACCAGAATTGAAATTTCTGTCGTGTTTCCTGCCATCATCTCTCATTCTTCCTCTCTGCCCGACTTCCTTCCTCTCCCTCTCTCTTCTTCCCAGATCCATCCAATTTCTCTCTTTGAAAGCCCGACAAATTTCTGAGAATTGGTATCCCATGAAATCGAAACATCCCGAGGTCTAGAAAACCGAAACTCTACATTTCATATAAATCACGTTTTCTCAGCGCAACCATTACCCCCAGCACCATTAGTAAGAGACCTTTCTATATGATATCCATATAAGTTTCCATGTCATGTTTTCTTCACGGGATACTTAAATAACATTGTAGGTATATCCATCGAGCCGCTTCTTTGATTTACCTTCCAGTAATATTTGTGAAGCTCGTTAGGCGATAACGATTCGGAAACATGCAATGCTCTTACATTTACATTACCTAGGTAGCATCGTAAACATAAAATTGATTTGCATCCTGTAATATTTGATTTTATTCTAGACTAGATACATCTTAGAATAAACTTCAACATGCTATATGATTTGTATATGTGTAGAAGTCCCTGGGAATATAGATAATGAATGCAGCGTATGTGGTATTACCACTACGTATTAATTCCGCGACCATAATTTCCCGTGAGATTGTGTTTCGGAGTAGAGCTCATCAAAACAGATAGAGTTGAAATTACATGATAGAGATCTCATTCACTCAGTCTTTCATCAAATCTCTGCACAATTTCAACTCTCCACTCAATCGCTCACTGCTATACACTCCTCTGTTTGTTTTCCCGAGAATATGTGCCTCTCATATGTTATATGTAAGACAAATTCATCTGACGCTATTTTTACCACCGCGATTCTTGGCTAAAAGTTTATTTTGTCTTCTTCGCTCCTGCTTTTTCTGGCGGCGACGTTTTTTTGCGCATTTACATTTGCGTCTGCAAGCTTGTTTTCCGCGGCAAGCCATTGGAGCATGTTGTTGCAGACTCTGGACAGTTGGCGAAGAGGCAGGTAATGCAGTCAGATCCGGGTCTTGATTGAATGCATTCCAGGGCAACCTGTCTACAGGAAATGTGCTAGATGATGAGTTATCAGTCAGTGGCTCTCCAGGAAATGTTCTTCCTGAGAAAATTTCTCTTCCAGGTTGTAAACTTTCGTTACCATAAAAGCCGTTCGGATGCATGGGTCGGTGGACTAATTGATTGTTAGGGATGAGTTCCGGTCAAGATAGCTGGAGGGATTCACCACGAGATTGCTCTTGGTCCAAGGTCGAGCTCTGAGAGACAGGAACTTCTCTATGATGTCTCCCGACAACCATATCTAAACGATGCGAAGATTTCCCGAACTCAGCACCATCTTCAGAGCTTCTCCTCTGGGGATTATGAGTCCCACTTTCCCTTGCATTTTCCTCCAAAGATCCGGTCAAAGTATTATCGATTGCGCCGCCGTCGTTGCTGATGTTCGATACTGCACCACCGAAGGAAGACGAACTTGAATCACCATTTGACATCATGTCGCTTCCAACTTCTGCTTCCCATGTTGGCAAGTAATCAGGATCTAAATCTCGACGAGCCCTTCTATTTGTTGGAGTGACACGGTCAGAGGGTTCCTGCAAGTCTGGAATTGTAGAACTAGTGGCCGAAAGAGAATTAGTCTGGATCTTTGTTGGTACTCCAGACCGGACTGTCGCATCTTCCATGAATTCTGCTTCCTTGTTAAGTATATCGCGTAGAACTTCCCGAGTTTTCTTAGCAGATTGACGCTGGCCGGTTGGCCTGGTTGCTCCTGTGCTGTCCATTGGCTGATGGTGATCTATTGTTTCTGATTTGACCCTGTTTTTACTTCCAAATGGACGGCCTCGTTTCTTGCCACTCAGACCCACTTGTGAACTTTGGCGTGAAGTCGGTGTCGAAGCTTGAGAAGAACTTGCTGGCGAAGAGTCTAAAACAATTGCATGGTAATTCTTCAAAGGTCTGCCGCGACGTCGTTTCGGGCCGATAGGACAAGAATAGATAGCTTCGCCCTCTATGTACTCAACCTTGCGCTTCATGCCCTTTGGTGATATTTGGCTGTTGGTTGAAAGTTGATTCGCAGGAAGACATGGGCTTGCAGAACTGGGCCATCCCGGAAGCTCAACGGTAAAAGTATCTCTATGATGCTCCTGTTTTACATTGCCTCCATCACCTAACCCAGAGTCCCGAGTCGTTTCACAAGAATCGTTGTCTTCAATTTCTATTGAATGCGAAAGCTGCTCTATGTTTTCTATGAATGGTTCTCGTGGTGATCCTGAGAGTAGTTCCGGTAATGTTTCTGGTAATGGATTTGGTAGTGATTTTCGTAGTGGTTCTGGTAACGGTTCTGGTAATTGTTCTGAAAGAGATTCTGGGAGTGCTTTCGAGGGAGGCTCAGGGAGTGGCGCCGATGTCTCGGCAACAAGTCTCGAAGATTCAATTAAAGTCTCTGTAACAGGTTCATCAATTTGATCAGGTGAAGGCCTATTGCTTATTTCTGAAATGGAAGATTCTGCAACAATGCTTGATCGAGATCCAACCCTCAGTCTTCTACGTGTGATCCCCGCGGCTTTCCGAGTCTTGCAGTGCAGACATGTGGTAGGTGTTGGACTCATCGGACTAACAATTAAACCTTCAGGTAACACGATTGGCTTTCGACAACTATCGCAGTTGTAATGACTACTTGGCATGTTGTCTAGGAAATCATATTCATCTTCCTCGCTGTCCGTTGACTCTGCTGTGCCCGTAGTTTTTTCGACGCCTGGATTGGCGCCGCCTGTAGGAACTAAATTGCCATCCAGCTCCTGACCATTTATATCGATAGGAATAGGACTGCCCAGATCACTAGTATCACTGAAATCCTCCTGCACTTCTTGGCTCATATTTCCCAGGATCTCATTATTCGCATGAGCTTCATGCATTGATTTAATGTTCCTCCGAAAACTGTCAACAAGATTGTTGAACGCTTCAAACGAAAACTCTTTAGTAGATACATCGCGTGGAGATCCAGCTCCAATACTTGCAAGTTGATCGTATGGAAAATTGGCGACACCAGAAGCACGAGCTAAAGCAAGGTATTTGACTGAAATATCATTGGCTAATTGAATTATGTCATCTTGCGGTCTATCAGTTGTGACTGAAGTCGTAACAGACTCGCTTGCTCCAGGAGTCGAGAATTGGGGAGTCGCGCTCGTAGGATTATCATTGACAGTAATTCCACGTGCGTTGGCAACGCTACTGAGAAGAGTGTTCAGCGCTTTCGAAATATCTGTGCCGGACACAATTTCTTTCATTGTGCCACTATTCGAAGTATGAAGCGCTTCCGTAGTTGTGTTTATCGAGGTTGCTTCCAATCCTACGTTATCGATCGTTCTAGGGTCTTTCTTTAAATTACTATTGAGAATGGGTAGAAGTTGCCTGTCGACTAAGCTTTGCGAGTCCATAGAATCAGAGCGACTTCTCCGCTCCAGGATACTTGATTGATAGGCTGCCTCGTCATTGTGCAATATCGAGCTGTCCTCTGAAGGAGTTGGATGTAAACGTAATGAATCATATTCTTGCCTGGCATTTGCTTCACCAATTTGTTGATTTAGCACTATCCTCGCTGGAGATCCAGAGCCTGCTTCAGTTTCGAACTGATCCCCTCGCCTTTGGTCCACGTTTGAAGTAGCACTCGCGCCATGATCGCGGGCATGTGTCACGTGATTGGTAGTTTGCACGTCTGCGTCCTCTAATTGCGCCGTATCATCTCTTTTCTTTTCACCGTCTTCTTCGTTGTTGTCCTCCACGCCGTTCGTTAGGAAAAAGGATTCCGCAACTTCTTTTGCTCCTGGACATTTCAAGATCATGTTCATGATCAGTTCCTGAAGCTTAAAGTTTCCCGCCGCATCGATCTTCTTTGATAGTGCCTCGAGTGTTTTAGCGCGCTCAACGCGTTCATGATTTGTAGTCGGTGACCGAAGAAAAAGGCTTGCTGTCGATGCATGATTGGAAGTAGATGGCAAAGAATTTGTGATGGAAGGTGATGTGGGAAATGGTGACCGGGATGGTGTTGTGGGAGCTTGTTCCACGCGTCTTGCTGCAGCTTCACGAGCTCTTCGTTCAGCTGCTCTAACTTTTGCCTGCTCGATTCGTTGTTTAGTACCAAGCTTAGCAAGTGATGATAAATCGTCATTGCGACCTTCTTCCATAACGACGTCCGACATGACCGCTATGTGCAATTCTTGTATAGCGTGGCAAAGTTCGTGCTTTTATTTTGTTTGTGAGAGCTTTCAGAAATATATTTCCTTTATCTCGTATCTCAACATGGCGAAGGGCAGTATTGAAAGCCAAAAATATGAATAAATAATTGATCAATTTTATGTAACACTATCGACTTAATGAATCATTGTCAGTGAACATGTTAATTGTTTGTATTTCGAATTATTTACTCTCATCTGGTCACAGCATACTTCATCAAGCTTACGTAACTCCTAATTTTGTCTGCCAGTCACGTGAAATTTAAAAATTGAAAAGACAATGCACCACCACTTCACGTACATTGAGATTAACTTGGCAACAATTTCATGAAATTTTGATACAAACGCTCGAATTCAATCAACACCTGTGTATATAGTTGTCGATGTTGCTTCTACTTGCAAAGACTGTCTCAGCTTAATGGCCATCCCCCACGATAACCTTACCCTGTCCCTCCAAGATGAATTCTTTTCTCCACTTATAAACTCTCGAGGTCTTGTCTTTTAAATGTCGCCAATTCCCTCAAGGTCCTCTCCCAATATAAAAAATCGAATGTTCCTCGGTCACAGAAGTACTCATATCCTCAATTCAACACCCTTGTATAGTCTTCTGTTTCCTGTACACATCATCGCAATCGTATCTGGCCCTCTTGGCCGCCGGTTCCTCAACATTTTGCATGTCCTCGGATGCATCAGATGAGTCGGAACCATCAAGATCTTCGTAGTCATTCAATGAGTCTTTGGGGGTGGTTTCGAACATGTTTCTGGGCTCTTTGACTTCTGCCAACACTTTGTGTCTCGTGTTCTTGCAACCCCAATCGCTTCCAAATTGTGAACAGCAAGACCAAATCCAACGATCCTCGAAGTCCGGGTGATCAATAAGAGACTCAATGGCTCCGTCTCTCTTCGGATCATGATCTGCCCATATAATATCGTCAAGATTCGTTGTTCTTTGACCTGGGATTGTTAGCAAGATAGGCGCATGGGACGAGAAATTTGGAATGTACCTGGATGCCATAGACAGTCGTTGGACGGATTGTTGTCGATGCAAAAGTAATTATAACAGTTATTGCATTTGAACATTGTAGGGTTGTCCGGATGTTTTCTCTTGTTGGCTTTGACTAAGTCATGAATTTCGTACTTGGACTTGATCGGCACGTCTTCAACTTCGATTTCAACATCCTTTTCTCTTTCCTTGTAGTTATCGCAGTCCCTGAAGTTAGTAAGTCTAGGCTTGCCGTCATGAAAGCCATCGACTTCGAAGAATATCTTCTCCGGCTTGACGAAAAGCTTTCCATGACGATGCTTCAAAGAAAAGCCTTTGTTGTCGCAGACCAACTTGAGAAGATTGCGGAGCTCTGGAGCATCCATCTTCTCAAATTCTTCGCATAATCTTGAGTCAATCATGTTTTCCCCGCTGGGATGCAACCTTTGAAGACGAACAATATAAAAGCTGTGGATCCTAGAGCTGTGGATACCTAGGTAGGTGTAAAGAAAGTCGTTGTTGAGACGGAAAGCAGATACATTTGAAAGTAGGTCGAGACACAGATCTACTCGCTAATCTCAGTAGATACGGTCTCTTCCATCACAAAAATGAAGTGGTGATAGCTAAGAGATGAATTTCGATGATGCCTCTTGTAATTCCTATGAAATGATTCATCCAAGGCATGGAAAAGTTGTAAGGAGATTCCAGACCACATAATCATCTTACGTTGAATAAGAGCAAGCTCCTCACTCTCTGCAAAAAGATTTGTTCGAGATTGTCTGGAATGAATACAAATCATATCTTTGCACAGTCTAAGACAGTTAAAGAAAGCCTATGCAGCTTCTTGTGGTTTGATTGTTGAAATGGTTGCAAGACACAAAGTAACTCTGTCTCCCACATCAAACAAGCAGCAAATGCACAAATCTTTTGTCAGATTGAAAGAAATAGATGATATGAAGAGCTGATATTATTAATCTATGTAAAGAGCCCTCATCGTGTCTTCTTTGAACGGTCATCCTCAAGCATTTAAGAGAATTATCTGCGTTTGGAAGATCAAGACTAGGTATAAACCGCCATCATCGTTGTCACTACGACCATAACAAACTAATAAGCCTCAGTCTTAGTTCTCTTGCTGCTTCCTTCCTCCAATGCTTTATGTCTTGTAAATATACACGCGTCCGCATCCGAATATCCCTCACAAAAACTCCAGATGAAGCGATCTGCATACTCCGGATCATCTACACTCTTCCACGGCTCTCCATGGTCCGGCCAATGATAATCCTCCACATAATTCTCATCTAATTCTCTCTCGCCTAGAATGAGTGTCAATGACCAAACCTTACATGAAGATAGAATACTTCAATACATACCTGGATGGAAGAAACAATCGCCTTTTTTGTTGTCCTCGATATTGAAGTCGGAACCACAGTTCTCGCACTCGAATATCTCTAGATTTCTCTTCTTTGAAGCCACCAAAACTCGCAAATGTTTTTCCTTTTCAGCGTACATCTCCTCTAAGTAATCCTTCTTTGATGAAAGCAGTTTCTTGATCTCGCTTTTGCGCAAAGCTGGCACGTCGTTGTCATCATCAGAGTTGTCCCATGAGTCACTCTCCGATTTCTCCTCACTGTATCCTTCCTTGCCTTCAAATGCTTCCTCGTCGTCTTTGTTTGTCTGTTGATCCGCCGATTTGACTAATCCAGCTTCTTCATCCATCTTTTGCTCTCCCATTGTACCCAGTTGTTGGTTTGTTTCCATATCCTCGAGTTCAGACAAATCCGCGTTGTCAACGAATGCAACTTCTCCATTGTCTCCTTCTTCCTTAGCAAGCTCGTCGTTGTCGTTGTAACTTCCAAACCCGCCATTCTTGTTTTGCTCGCCCTCACCATCGCTATCGTCACTTTGAGTAAGGTCGATGAAACCATTTGAGATAACGATGTTGCGGCCTTCGACCTCGATTTTACCCATCGCATCATCAATAGTAAACTTACCACACTCACATAGCTTGTTGAGAAGTTCTCGAAGTTTTGGTGCGTTCATTCCGTCGAAGGCATTCTTGAGTCTCGGGTTACCCATTGTCGTTGTATTGACGAAGTTGTATAGGCGTTGTTTCCCGGGTTGTCAATGTAGTAGATCGCTGGGATGCGCTTGAGTAGTAAGTTCGAAACAACAACGCACCTTGCAGTCACTGAATTCACTATTTGCTCAGATAATCTCAGGCGATTTTAAATCTCTGCAACTTCATTTTTAGTAAGAGATATTGTTTGGCCTACATTCATTGTTTCATCGGATTTCTATGGATGAAAAGCTTAATCGATTATATGCTTTTCTATTGATTGGCTGCCCATGCAACCTCCATGCCACCCCCCCCCCCCCGGGTGTACAAAAACAATACTAGGTACCAAATGGTTGATCTCGATTCCACTATCATACTAATAGTCGCTATAATAACAGGTATACTACCTCGGGGCTTTTCCAATTAGCTGATTCGCCTAAACCCACAGTCTGGGCCTCTTTCTATGAATTGGGGACTCAGGCTCATATGGTTCTTCGTCAGGTTCTTCGTCGGGTGTTTCAACTTCCACCTCTCCATGATCAATTGCTTCCTCTTCTTCTGGATATTCATCCGATGGATCCTGTTCTCCGCTCTCACTGGAGCTCTCACTGGAGCTCTCATCTTGCGGCTTGACTCGGTCAAGAATATCCAGAGTAATTGTTCTCCCGTCTATCATAAGTTGCTCGCCTTCAATGAATGAGAAATAGACAGGTTGAGCATTACACAAAACTATAAGGGTTTTTCTAAGTTCATCAGGAGTCATTTTCTCCAATAAATCGCAAGTTGCGGCTTCGTGTGTGAGGACAACTCGAGTGCCAACTATCAAGATTACCGCGATTATACGCTGCAAAGTCAAATCGTCCTTTTCATTAATATATTCCTCATCAGCGGGCACATCCATCTTGTAGACTCCTCCGCATGTCATGTGGATAGCCCTCCGAAGTTGTGGAGCTCTCATTTTTTCGAATGCGAACCAGATCCTTCGTCTCCAGACGGCATCCTCGTCTTTTTTGCGACTACCGAGCACCTCTTCAAACAGCGATTCATCTTCGTCCTCGTCTCCAACTTCATTATAATCTGAGTCACCCTCCTCCCATAGTTTGACTTGGGAGATTACTCTCTGACCTTCCAAACGAAGATCGCAACGAATCTTGGCTCCACGAGTACCTTGGTCGATACAAGATTTATAATACAAATCCCGAACAAACTTTCGAATTTCCTCGACATCCATAGCAGTGTATGCCGTGACCATCTTTCGCGGATTGTTATGGGATAGCTTTGATGGGTCAATATTGATCACGAAGATAGGCTCATTTTTTTCATTGTAAATAGGGCATCCGTAGCCTTCGTCCATGACAATTTGAGCCATAATTGTTCGAAGAAAATCTTCATCCAACTTTAGAAGAAAATCGGTGAGATGTGCTCCCAAGTCTGCCTCAGTGAAAAACCTTGGATACTTTTTCCGTTCCATATCTTCCCCCAATCTGAAAATTTTGAGTCTCGATTAAGATGTATTCATTCAATATTATTCTTATTTTGGTATCATCGCTTTCGATTTGTTTCTGGTTATCAGAAAAAGAATGGTATTGGTTAAATGTTTCATTTTGTCAGGACACGCCTGTAAACAATCAAAGCTTTCTACTTCGTGTTCGCTCTTGCATTTGTTATGGGTAGCGATGACCCTGAAAATGAGTGTGACCATACACCTGGAGCCACAAGTAGCTACGTGTGATTGACTACCCCAGTGGTCGGAAGGAACCTCCGTCGGTTCACAAGTTCCTTCCTCTGCGAAGATTCGTACGAATCTGCACAAAGAATATTCCAGCATCACCTGTCAACCATTGACTGCACCATTCCTCACAAAACTCATCAAGAACAATGCGAAGTTCATAAGCCCACTCACGGGAAACGTGTTTGTAGACTCCCGGTTTGCTGCACCACATGATTTTTGGTACAAACTTGATAAATTCTACATTTGGCTCTTCGGCACGGATTGTAAATTTGTAAAAGTCGTTACAATGAATGTCCTTGGGTCTTTCGTGAGACTCTGGTGCGTCCAACCTCTCGAAATATTTGTTGAGTCTTGTATCGATGGCTTTTCTGAGTCCAGAATAGTCGAGATCTCTAACGGATACGTTGGTAGGTGCGTCGGAGTCGGACATCTTTTGCTGCGGTTTTTGTTGATTTGAATCTTGGTTGTATTGAAGTATAAATGATTTCGAATTGATTTCAATTAAATTGCTATGAAGCTCAATCGATTTGAATTTGGACCGGAACCGATTAATAAAAGGATGAGGATGTACTGAATAGTAATTTACTGTAGTGAGATCATGTTTCACCATAACTAAATCACGTGTAGTGTATTTATTAGTATTCACTAGTACTGTACAGTAGCTAGGAAGATAGTGCCTCTACCTAACTTTAGTGCTCGACATCTGGCCTTTCCCAATGGAGAAATTCTTGATCCAGCGTGTCGTGAGTAACCTCCTTATCTTCCCAACCAATACCGGAGGTGGGAGAAGTTTTGAGTGAATTTGGGAAGAGACCATCAGGAATCAGAATGGAACATACCCCAGTCGAAGACAAGTCTATCAGGTCTGGGCTATCAAGATCATCACATCATGACACGCCAAATTAGCGCGAATTACTTGTAGAGGTACTTTGCTCAGTGCTCATGAAGTTTTGATGTCATTACTTGCACTTCTCATTCCCATCTTCCTATTTTTGCTTCCCCCCATTCCATGGGTCGAGCAACGGAGCCAAGAATCTATTCCCATTCAAAAACTTGGCTCAGCTCCGAAAAGTTTGAATCCCCGATTTTCGTAACTCCTGAATTTTACTGCAGAAAGATTGCGATTGCAAAGTTGTGAAAGCACGAGCATTGGAAACCATGAAGGGCAGAGAATGGAGAAGGGATTTCATCAGATGAAGTGAATACGGAAGTATCCACAACTTTATATCATTAAGCTACAGAATTTGGCTACATCTTCTTGTTTTCTATTGTGCGGTACATGAACATGCTACCTTAAAGTAAGTCAGGTAAGTCCTTTGAATTTGACACTGCAACTGGACGATATATTGCATTCTGTCGGCAAATTCCAAAGCTTATTGATTCGCGCATCCATCAAGACTTACTCCAATTTCGCAGGTGCAAATCTGGCGTTTCTTCTTGCTCGCCTCATTCCGCCTTGAGCTACATATCTTATCATCCACCTTCTGAGTCTCGTGCTAAGTCGTCCCGACTTTTCCGCCGTCCAAGGATCAAGTCCAAGTTTCTCACGCCATTTTTTATCGATTGCCCTCGGGTTATGCTGTACCTCAGATGCGTATGAAGATAATGGGCCCCGACAGATCTTTAGATCTAATAACTCTTTTGCCATAGGCCAAGTCAGCAAAGAAAGATCTTTTTCTTGGTAGGCGGAACATTGTGCCCAAGAGATCGTCAAGTTAAGCGCGTCGCGGACGTCAAATTGCAAGTCGAACCATGGGCCAATAGTAGCACTAGAGGCCACACATCCTCCCACAACTATAGCTTGCCCGATTATTGAATGACGGCTCGACTTGTGCTCTCGTAATACTAGGTAGCGAGGCATTTGGTATTTGATCTTGGTTGGCTCATTGCGGTCAAAATGTGCGTACGCTTGAGTCACAAGCAAGTCTCCTCGCTGTGTAGCTTTGGGTAGCAGCGCTACCAGGCCGCCTTCATTGTCCATAATTTTGACATAATCTTCCGGGATCTCCCCTTCGAAATCAGATAAGATCAGTTTTGGCCGGCGACCGCTTTTATTATGATGAAACATGCACCCCAATTCCCCTTCTATATGCTTTCTATGAAACTTATAATTCGGTCGAACATCGAGCTTCCAATTGTTGTCCGTACCTTTTAAAATTCTACAAGAAAACCATTCTACGTCTTCTGCATTTGAATTGATAGGTTCATCAAGGTTGATGTCTCTTTCTGCGTGCTGATGTATATCAACGCTCTCTGGAGCTTTTTGTGCGAGGGATAGCTTCATACTCTGCGCGAGTGAGTAAGCAAGTGGTAATGCTGCTCGATAGCAACTTTCTTCTGAGCAATGTCCCTCCGAGCATCTCGATTGTTCGATTATTCTAGTCATTCCCAGAACTGCTAGTTCAAAAATGTCTGCGGTGTAGTCTGGCGCAATAGGCAACACATCTTGCCAATCAACCATTGAGAGAACTCCATATATCTTGTCGCGAGGATCTTGACATTGCAAGTCTCGTGTCAACTCTAATAGAGGGAGCAAAAGAAAATGCCGATCTACTTTGCTCGCCCCATATGCCAAGTATCGATAACAAGGATCCGCACAGTAACCCCAACAAGAATTTGAAGCAGGATCGCAGCGGCTGTCCTGCCAGTCTACTATGGAAGCTCGTGTCATCTCTTGTCGATGCATTGTCAAGAAAGCAATGATGATCAAAAGATTATACGAGTAAAGCGGCCCAGTGTTCACTATCAGACTGTGTAGCTTGTGATGAAGTGTGTAAAGCTCGCCAATGGGACGATGATCACTTCCACAACAAACAATCACAGTTCCAGTAATGGAAACTTCCTGCAGGATCCATACTCGCTTGAAGTAGGGTCTCTCCATGAAGGTGAAGAATGCTCTGCGAAGCCTTCTCTTTCTGACGTCTTGGGTCTTGATGGCCCATATCAGAGATTCAATTGTATGTTTTATGACAGTAAGCCCAGAGGCTCCATCGATATGGCCAATTCCTGGCTTAAAGACCTTGGCTTTGCAGGAAAATCTCATCACGAGCTCGCTGTCATCACCATGGGACCCTAAACAAGCCAAGACACAGGAAGCGTTTCGATATATGTGCCCCATCATCTTCACTTGATCACCTTTCTCATTGATGTTGTATTGGTCGATACATATGGAATCCATCCAAACATATCGGACGCCAAACCATTTTGCTTGTCGCAACGCGTAATCCGCATTCTTATTTATTGTTAGACTTCTCCCGTCAACATTTATAGTTGTGATGAATTCTGGACTGCCCCATACGTAGGATATGGCATGGTATGGTGGTGTATGGTCAACATGCCACGTGCTAACGTTACAACGTATTTCGGTCGTCGTATCTTCCCTGTCGATATTGTCAAGTTCTAATAATCGTATGAATGTTTTGGGATTCGACAAAGATTCATGGTGGAATTCGGATATAGGATTTGCCTGTAAATTTCTCGGCAAGAAACCGATTGTGCCTTCCATTCCTAGAGGCGCATCACTACTGCCGTTTACAGGAACCTGCACATGTTGCTCTCCCATCACGATGTGGTACGAAGAGAAGCCATGAAATACCCTAACGCGATGAAACTACTGAGGTTTTTTATCTATGACTGCACGAACTTTTATAGCCCCCATGCAGAGATAAAAGGTACCCACTCACTTACCGGGCTAGTCGCATCCTCCAGCGACGATCAGTCGGAAGCTTATCTGGATCGATTTGATCATTTTGTACGCCTCTAGCACAGATCGGAACTCCTTTCCCCTAAAAGCTTCTCTTCAATACACGCAGCCGAACCCCTTAAATCTGTTGGTACAAAGCAGTAAGTATTTTCCTACATCTTTTGTGTTACTAAGTTGCCTAATTACCCACAATACCCAAAAATTATGGATCAATCAACATCCATTATTCCGCGAATGAAAAGCCTCACATAAAAATAAGCAGGACACCTATATAGGATTAGCGCGGTTGGATTGCGGCCGTAAACCTTGCCTCAACCCCTCCTTCTCAAAGTACAGGCCCCAGGGAGCAATTTAATTTCCAAAGAAAGGAAGCACAGAATTGGTGACCTTCGTAATTGCGGATTCGTCGAAATTTCTCTGAAATACGTTATCTATCCAAAGAGGAGACACATTGACGTGAAAACGGATTATATATATATATATATATATCTCGAGTATCACCCACAAACACGTCAAGATATTGCAATCATGGCCTCCTCTCCTACCTCCCCAGATATCACGATGTCGAACAAAGATAAAGAGAATGGAGGACTTACGCTTGCTATTATTGGTTGTGGTAAGTATCTCTCCTATTCTGCTCATCTATTTGTACTCTTGTGAGAGGTTGCACAGAGCACAGCTCATTAGCCCCTTGATAAGTCACCTGACATGCTTCTTTAGGAACAATGGGCACTTCAATTCTCACTGGTATTCTCAACGCAAAGTCCAAAGGCGCTGCTACAGATTCAAATATAAACACATTTATCGCCACAGTCAACACAATGGCTTCCGTGATACGATTGCGCAAAAAATTCCATTCGAGCGAATCACGTGTTCATATCCTTGTTGGGAATGACGGGGTACTTCAAGCTATGCAAAAGGCGGATATTGTTTTACTAGCGTGTAAGCCATATACAATCGAGGGAGTACTCTCAATGCAAGGAGTTAAAGAGGCATTGGGAGGAAAACTGGTGATTAGTGTAGCAGTAGGGACACCGGTGGAAAAGATGACGGCTGCAATCGGAATCTCAGAATCTTCCATTGGAAAAGGCAAAGGAAAAGAAATTGCCATCGTCCGCGCAATGCCGAGTCTAGCAGCCAGTTTTGGGGAATCAAATACCGTAGTGGAAATATCTCCTTCGATGGTTCTTTCGCAACAAAATAAATCTATTGTTCGCTACATTTTTAGATGTATAGGATCGATAGTGGAGGTGGGTCCTGGGCAATATGATGCGGCCAGTGTGATGGCGGCAACGAGCATGGCGTTTTTAACAGTGGCGCTTGACGGGATACTAGATGGGGGCGTGAAGGAGGGGATTAAGAGGTGTGAGGGAAGGGATATCTTGGTGAGGAGTTTGAAGGGCTTGGTTGGACTGTTGGAGGGCAAGGGAGAAGAGAGCAGTGGGGATGATGGAAAAAGAGATGGGAAGGCGAATGGAAGGCAAAAGGAGAAGTCGAAAGGAATGACGGGCGATGAGATTAGAGAACAGTTCAGTAGTCCGAGAGGAACGACGATTGAGGGGCTGGTGGGACTGGAGGAGGACAGAGTGAGGTATGCATATTGTAGGAGTGTGATGAGAGCGACGAAGCGAAGTTTGGAAATGTAGATTTATTGTTTTTTGGCGTTTCAGATTTATGCATATACATTAGTGTTTTCGAACAAGTGTTTCAATCTTTCACTTTGTTCTTTCCAAATTCCATTTGGCCTGTGCTCCGGCTCTTACTCTTTCCCAGAGCAGCGTAACTAAAGCGTTAGCTCCTAAAAGTCTGACGAAGTAGAAAATCAAGGAACAAAACTGGAAAGGGTACAGAACAATCAGCTTCGAGTCATGGAGAAGGTACCTGAGGTCGAGCTTCAGGCTCGTAATGTGCATGGGAAGGAGGTATTAACTACAGCGGACATGATTCGATACGTACCTTAGATACTATTCTTCATTGCAAGCTACCCGGAGACAGTTTTACTATCCAGGGGGAAACATGGTGAGCAACATCCAGTCATGTGCTCGCCGTTATTTCAAGAAATCTATTCTAGTATTGCAGAACAGCAACGCACACTTGCTGTACAGGATCGAGCCACGAATGCCCCCAATCTTTAATTAAGAAGGGTTAGAAGCCTAGTATGTGTTGAGAGTAACGATACTGAGGAGCTGTCTTCCTTCAACGGATATATCGGAACGAATTTGAGAATGCCATGGATTTAAGATTACACCACTCCTTTGGTACACCAATACGAGATTCTGAGAAGACCGCTAGATTCAAAAGGAAGAGTAACCTACACCATTTTGCGTAAATACCTTGACATTTCATAAGCGTACTCTCTAATGCAACTTGTGAGCAGCTAGCGCAGCTTTCCTGTTAAACGCCGGTAACATTTTCCTTCGATAGTTATTGCCATCACGTTAAACCTGGGGTTACATGGCCCACTTCAACGTCGATTTAACCTTAAAGATCTGGCTTGAGACAAAAGTTGACTTAATAAGATTGCGCCCAGCTATGTGGTGGCGCTTTTGCTAATGTTAAATTTACCTCGTCGTTTACTCCTGCTGCCAAAGATATCGGTGAGAGATATATTTGATAAGATAAGTGTTGAGTGTGATTGGTCGAAGAGAAGTCTTCATAGCTGCTTTAATGATTCTATAGGTAGGCTCGTACGCTGCTATCGCTACTTTAAAACGGCCAGCCAGATGACAAATCAGCACATCCACCATCGCGCGTACCGATGAAATTTCGAGATGAAAAAATCAACCTCAATCAATATTGACGCTCTCATACCCTTTCCAAACGAATCAACATACCGACAGAGGAGTCATTTATACGAAAACTACGAATTATCTTGGCCAGAATCCTCTCACAGAAAATTGAAATTATACATGTATCTAAACGCAACGACTGTTCATCTGAATTGAGAACTTGAAACTGCTCAGCCGCTTTCTTCAAGCTACTGGTCAATGCTATGAAACGAAAGAAGACATATTAAACTCCTTTCGGCAAATTGAGCAAGCCCTTCAGTCAAAAAATGTCACAATTCTGTACAAATTCGTTTCGTGGCATAGATCTGACAAGGTTAGGCGTTTTTTTCTTCTACCCTTCCACTTGGTACCAATGCTGGAAACACAAAATACTGTGATCAAAATCCATTCAGCTACTTTACTAGCCAAATGCAGAAAAGTGGGATGAACACATTGACCAATCAGTATAAAGAACGGTTATAGAACAAGGGGCTAGGCTCTTTCACCTACGACTCACCAATCGGAGGAAGTGTGCTCTTGTAAGCACCAACGATCGGTTCGACACTTGGATGAGCTGATCTAAAGTCTTCGCGCTGGCCAAGCCATAGAAAGTGATGGTAACCGATATTGACCTGCTATAGGACTATGTCAATTATTGATTTTTGGGTCTCGATGTTATCATACCGCAAACATTTTTGGGACTTTCAGATCGTCTGCAGACCATTTACCTAAAGACAGGTTAGCAATGCTCCAGAATTGCGATTTTCTTGTCTTCCAACTCCTCTCGAGATTTACTTTGAGATTTACCTATGAGCTCATCCAATGTAAATCAAAGATCCATCTATGAACACACGTTCTCACGTCATCCAATTATATGAAGATGAGACACCAAAACTCTGGAGCAAGGCCCAACTGCTTTACAAATGATCTTCACCAGTGTGGGATCACCTTGTAGTTACTTTGTAGTGGGTCGTTTAAACCCCTGACTTGTTGGAATAAAATCCCCGAAGAGATCCAATTTTAGGACCACAAACGCTCGAGCCACATAGCCCACCATTCAACCTCGAAAGAATCGTAGCCTTCCTGTCAATAAGATCGAGAAACCAATTTCCCGACCGATTCTCAGCAATGCCATAGAATTCTGGGCCTTGGCTTACTTGGGAGCTCCGGCGGCCATCATGGGCTTGAATATAAAGTCTGCCGATTCCCGCTCCTCGGCTTGCCATACTGGTCCATAGGAACGTCCGATCCTATTGCTCCTTCATCCCTTCACAAATTAGTAGCGTGACTTTATTGGCTTCAGACTTGGCACGAGGCATATTGAAGAAATCAGGAAGTCATTTACATCAAACTTTATATTATCACGCGGCCATTCACAGAAAAGGAAAGTAGTGTGAATCATCGAATTTTAATTGATTCATAAAGTCCTGAAACCTGCTTAAGAACAACGCACGAAACCTCTTCCACAGACAAAGTACTACCAGACAACATGCATATCTCTCTGCGTCATATTTTGGCTTCGCTGTCCGTAGCAGCCCTCACTTCTTCGGTTGTCGAGGCTATCCCAACAAAGATCCAGCGATATTCCGAGTCGTCTTTGTTAGCGAAGCGTGCAACGGCTAGAGAAAGCTTGACCCGAGCGGACTTTCAAAACTACGCCTCATCAGCTATCAACGCTCTCCAGAAAACATACTGGAACGCCCCCTCCGGACTATGGGGCTCCTACGACAAGAGTGGAAAGTTCTCCCCACAGTGGTGGCCTTCCGCCAATGTCCTCACAATGATGGCGAACTACTATGGAAAATACCCAACCACAGCTACATGGATGCCAGATGTTTTTGCGACAATCTTGACGCATGCCCCAGCGTATGCGAAAGGATTTCTTAATGATTACTATGATGATGAACTTTGGTGGGTATTGGCTTGGATTCAAGTTTATGATGCGACTGGAAATGTTACCTATCTTAATACCGCGGCTGAAATATATGAAGATTCCAAGAGTGTTTATGGTAATACTCCTTGTGGTGGCTTATGGTATGTTTATTTCCATTCACTCTCGGTCAAATGACTACCAATCTCCCCTTCCACAAATCACGACATAATTTCTTTGCATTTCATCATGTGGCTACTTTCACAAACAGTGTTACAAAGTTGAACAAACATACTAACAATCAATCAGGTGGGACAAGAACCACGCCGGTGTCAACAGTGTAGAAAATGAGCTCTACCTCACCGCCTCCGCCAAACTCGCCAACCGCCTCCCCGCGAAAAAGAACTCTCAAGGTCAAGGTTACTACTATTCCCAAGCTCTGATTGCTTACGACTTCCTTATCACCAACACCACTACCTCCATGAACCCCTCTACTCATCTCTTCAACGACGGCATCTCCATGACCACATGCAAAAACAACGGAAAAATCGTGTTCACTTACAATCAAGGGATTATCCTATCCGGTCTGACCGAACTCACCTGGAGCACGAGAAGTCATTCCTACACTGCCCTCGCGGTTCAAATTGCCAACTCAGTCATCGCCAACATGACTACCTCTGAGGGAATCCTGCAGGAAAAAGCCTGCGAGCCTAATGCCTGTAATGGAGACGAACAACAATTCAAAGGTGTCTTTACACGCAATCTCTCATTCATGGTTAACAGAGCTACCGGCATGGACGCAGATGTTCTCGCCAAGTATCGAGCTTTCCTAGCGCTCAATGCAGAGAGTATCATTCGCAAGGATACTAGTAGTGATAACATGCTCGGATTGGTGTGGAGTGGCGCCACCAAACCGGTGTATAGTGTTCAGACTGATGGAAGCGCACTGGATACGCTTGTAGGAGCTGCTATCACGGCTCTGAATTAGGGATGAGATTGGATGGAATGAAGATGATGACTCGTGATGTGGATCGAAGGACAGGTTATGAAGATATGCTAGGGAGGAAGTATGATGTACCCATTCCTCAAACGCCTTTTATACTGGAGCAATTTCCCCATCGGAAACTGCGCATTTATTGCTGTGGAAGCAGGCAAAGCGTGGATTTTTTTTCTCTTTTCTTGGCGGGGGGCACAACAGATACCACTTTGCATTTGTTATTATTTATTTATCTCACTTGGCGTTTGGGGTACGGGCTGGAAAATACATCATCACGAGCGTTTTAGGGAGTTCTTTGAGATGGAGTTCAATTGAATGAAGTATGATTGATGATGATGATGATAATTCAGTCTGAGACTGATTTAATAATCACATCTTCGAGTTTGAATATTTACAGACAGGAGTGTGGAAGGTTCCACGCTGTATAGTACATAGATAGATAGCATTTTGCACATAGGTACATACAATATAGCATGGTTTACACCTTACACCTTACATGTGTAAGATCTTACACACACGATCTAAATCCATCCCATCCATCATATCCATCACATTCGAAAATCTAGACCCCCAAGACCCCAAACCCCCCCCCCCCCCCCAAAAAATCCACAACCAATGAATCGGAAATCGGAAATCGAAAATCATCTATCCACATGTCTGAGATAAGAAAATGGAAAAAAATGTAAGAATCTAGCAGAAAAATGCATAATGTTGAGATGAACCACAAACGAAGAACCATGTAGCGATCTCTCGCTTGGTGGGGGGCGGGATGCGCGGATGGAGGGAGGTTCCTTGTACATTGGTATATCATGTAAAGCTATGGTTCCCACGTGTGGGTTTGGTTTATGTGAAACGATGGGTTTTTGATAGGGAATTATATATATTATATTTTTTGATGGGTTTGGTTTGTTTGGATTATAGGGGTATGTTTTTGTTTGGGGAGTTGAGGTTGTTGAAGTGTTTAAGGTGGATGGATGGGTTGCTGTTGGTGCCAATTGATTTTTTGAGATGGGGATTGGAATGTCACGGACTGGTTAGAAGAGAGTAGCGGGTGGCTAAAGATGCATGAGAATAGAAAGCAAGGTCGTATGGAATTATTTGTTTGGGGGTGAAGTAAGCTGATACGGCGATATTATGGAGTGGAAAGTACAGCTCATAAAAAAGCCCGGATCAAGTATAAAACATCGCGAAACATTTTGAACTTGAAGTGTATGGATATCATTGATGTACCAGAAATTAGTTTAAGCCCCATGATTCCATCATGCCCTCGATTCGATTCCCATCGTGCCCTTGTATGCTCTAACCGCGATATGTGTTTTCTAGCACTCAATGATCCATATGGAATCATTCCTTCGCGGTACTCCAAATCGAATGCCCTGCCACATATCTTTCGAAAGTCGTAGAAACCATCAACATCAAACTAGGAGCGAGCCAACTAGCCAACTAGCCATCCAGCCAACCACTCAGAGCGTGAGAGGAGTAACAAAGCCGGTGTTTTGACTATTGGTCGGGGACATGAAATGCAAAGCGAGACAAGTAAAATAAAATACAACGCAACGGATCATTTAGATGACTTCGTCGGGAATAGCTCCAGGATGTCCTTGGTAACTAAATCCCGAGCCCCCCCTAATAAATCCCGAGCCCCCCCTGGTAGCGGTTTACTGGGACAGTCAAAGTTGCCAACCTCTTCGACCGCGTGATCCATAAATTTCTGAAATATCTCTACGCCAGTTTCTCCTCCATTCCAACGAACACCGCAATTGCGTATTTTATCTTTGCTTTGAAGGAGTAGCTGCTTCCAATCATCCGTAAAGTAACAGCGGGAGCGGCTAGTGTGGAGGTTTGCCATGGGTTTATGGGCAAGGGAGCTCAAATGTAGAGCGCAATTCACCTTTTTATACAATTGGTAAGGGGTTAAATCGTAATCTTCTGTTCTTGGTAGAGGCCACAGATTTTATTCGCCCAGATGTTTGCTCATAAGCCCGTACATTGCCAACGGACATAGCTCTTTGCATGGGCTGTTCACATTGCCGTTCAGGAGCCCTTTCATGATGTCTGCGGTAAATGTTGTCAGGGAGTAGATCATATCTTTACGCAAGCGAATGATTGTATCTATTGATTATTAATGCAACGAAAAGTAACATGCGGTGTGGGGCTCACCTGTGATTTCAAGAGGTAACGGACTCCCTTCCAAATCCAACGGGTAGGGTTCTGTGTAGAATGGCGGATTACCCATCACACATCTCCCATCATCGCCAATGGTTAGTTGCAGTGCCAGAATTTTCATCATGTGGTAGAATTTTTCTTTTCTCCCAAAGTAATAGGCAATCCATAACCATCCTTCTCGGTGTGGTAGATACGCCTCATTTGCCTCATCTTTCAACCAACCCTGAATCCATGGTTTAACCAGACTTCTATAGTCGTACTGATCGCAGATAACGGCAATGTTGTATAGAACTTCGTACGGTAATTGCGAGGGAATCTTCGAGAATTTCAGATGCGCAATCCGTAGAAGTATCAACAAAGCTTCTGGATTATCGTCTGTAAAATCCAACTCAATGTCGGGAAATGGCTCTTCGGGGACTCCGCAGGCTTTCTTCGAATTTGGCTCTTCTTCATTTAAAAGTGAGGATAGAAGAGGGAATGGAAGGAACCAACGAACTTCTTCCAAAACTGAGCTGGCGAAGCAAAGCGCATGAGAGGATAATCTGAAAGTGATTTATTCGTCCACCATGTTTGGCTTTGGCTCGCACGTCGCCGTTCTCGAAAACGAAAGGGTGCTCCTGATTTTCCATTTTGTTGCACTAGAAATTTCGGTGGTTTTGTAGTCGCAGTCGCAGTCGCAGTTGTAGTTGCGATTTTGGTTATAATTGTGATGCGATTGTTGTTGTATCGAGAGCACTTAAGGTTTTCGTCTTGCTTTAACTAAGTTTGAAAAAGCTTTAGCGCGCAGTTTCCAGCTCGGATAAAACATGCCCGACCATTATAATAAGATGTTTGAAATTCACTGTTACGGTTTATTAAAGTGAACTTGTTCTTTCTTACTATTTTTTCTTCGCTGGCTCATCCATTTTCCCCATTTAGTGCCAAGCGTCCCGTGCCTACTCCCAGTTTTGTTTCCTTGATCAGACCGTACTGAATGTGAACAATCACCACCTTCTTCCACATTTGTCATCATCTCAAGTTCCCCAAGTGGTACCATGCTCACTCGCCCGTGTGCACACATGAAAGGAAACTTGCAGTTTGCCAATCTTCTAACCAACTCTCTGCACTCATCAACACCAAGTTCATCATTAAACATAATTGCAGTCCTACAAGCTCTACTATTCAACAGCTCCAAGACGCTCTTTGGGATGTGAGCTATCCTCTCAATCCAAGTGGATGCTGGGGTAACGGTAGGATGCAAAGTTGGATTCTCATGATACGAATAAAGCTCTGTACGGAGAATATGAAGGAGTAGGCTCGGATTTGCGACAAGTCTGGCAGTTATCAAGGGTGGAAGATATCGGACGGTGATAGTGGTACCCGTTGGCGAAACTGAATAAATGATTCCCCAATAGCAAAAATGATTCATGTAGGTACGAAAAAGCTGAGAATCTTTTGTTGAGATATTAAAGTTAAGGGATTTCTCAAGAGGTGTAGTGAATACTGATGCTGACGCTGGAATGTTTGAGACTGTGGGCGATGTAAGAAAATCAGATAAAAGAGTTTCTATTCGAATTCGTTCGTCCGCTGCGTGCTGATCGATAATCACAAGAAGAGAAGTCGAATCTTCTCCAGCTATAGATCTTCTTTGAAGATTGGCCAGAATAAACTTTTTATCTACTTGTGAGATGATCTCTGCGTCTCGTAAAGCTTTTTTTGAGATGCGCCCATGAAGTCCTGATGAAGTGTCTTCAAATGCCTTCTCGATTTCAGCTTGTGAACAGTGTTGATGACGACCATGTATAATTTCTTGTGTCTCCAGATCTAGCCCATCCATCGATACCTGAGGTATTGAAGGTTGAGCAGGAGCGAACACTGGATTCTCCCACCTATTCAGAATGTCATCGATCCATGGAATAGGCTGCTTATCGCTTGTAAGAGACTTTTTGACCGCAGTCAAGCGAGAAGATGAATTGGAAATAAACTGTTTTATGTGCTTTCCGTCCTCTTTCTTTTCAGATACGACAAGACCCGTCCGCCTGTTCACTAGAGATTTGACTTTATTTACAGGATTGACCCATACAAGCCAGTTCATCTCCATTTCATCTGATTCTTGCACTTTATCAGTGAACGGTGTTGCTTTGGAGATTGGTGCTTGACTTTCTTCGAAAGTACATCGAGTCAATTGTCCTGATTTGGAAAACAAAGCTGTTTCTGCTCGCACCTCCACCTTTGAGCTAACTTTTACTGGTATACTAAAGTTTTCTGGCGTATCTGTAAACTTTCTATGTGGTTGTTCAATCCCTGTTTTGATTTTTGACCAAGACCCAAAAGGGGAATCAGACGCGGAATGCGACTGACGAAAAGAAGGAAGTTTTACTTTCGTTCCCAGCGTATCTATTCTTACTCTTTTCTGGCTGTTATTCTCGTCGCCATCACCAGAAGACCCCGGCGTAGTTGGGAAAGTTTTCATATCTTGACAAGATTGATTGGTCTTAGTTGGTCCACTTTGCTCCAGAATCTCTGAATTTGTTGTTGAAGTGGCCAATTCTGATCTCTTAGTGCGATTCCCGCGTGCCAGTTTTGGCCGGAAATGATTCCTGGTTAGAAATTCTACAATAATCGCGTGCAAAAATTTCAGAATCTTGTCAAGAGTATTCCGCTTCTCGTCTAACACATCGTCAACCTTCAATCTTGCATGCTTTAATGGATCGACTTGGTGAACATTGATGTAAAACATTGGCCATCGATCAACACTCTTCTTCCCTGCTTTGAGCTCTTTGTTGGTGTACCCATCACCCTTAAACCTTCGGTCCTTAGATCTCCTTTTCAATTCAATTTCATCGAGCTCATTTGCCTCCTCTTGATTTCCGAACGAGGAATTGAGAAACCAACGATTGATTTCTTCATAAATGAAATTACAGTTGTCTTGAGAAATCAAAGGTTCTATCCCAAATGCTAGAAACTGAATGTGCTTGGTTGCATTTGGGATCAGAGAAATCGCGCCATTGACAATCAAGCTTGACGTGGAGGCACTAACAGGTATCCAGGATGACTTTTCATCAATTGCGATATATGAGGCTTTGGAGAGTATACTACAAGTATTGAACAGATCAACACTTCCAACTGGGCGCCATTCAGATGTTGCTGAGACCTTCGGATGGTAATTTTCTGGTCTGTACCATTTTCCTTTATAGATACCGAAATATCTTTTGGCCATGCGAGCAAGAGCGAGACAATATCTTTACGTAACCATCCCACATCTGAGCAATGACCTGCCTGTTTCCAGATGCAATGGGCTCTCTGCTTTACGCGTACTGGCATACTGCCGAACAGATTTCGAACAGTAACACGTGTACCGTCTTCAAAAGAAGCAAGATGATGTTGATCGGGGGCTGGGGTTTGACGTGACACAACTTCGGACCTATGCATATTTATTGAATTGTGCGAGTGGTGCAGATGATGATGCGAAGTGATTGAGAGTAAGGATAAAGCAGATAATGAGGCAATAAACGTTCCGTAGCCCCATGAGTTGGATTCGAGGCATTTAGCTTCGAAGAATCTGGCATAGGTGAGTTATATTTCTGGATGCATCAGAAGGTATGTGATAACATACGATAGAGCTTTCCCAAGCCTCCATTCTCCCCGAATTCTAATGGCAATATACCAAGTCCATTGTCCTCTACCATACAACTTCCACGGCCATAGTCTACATCAATATCAATCCTGGAGCAAGAAGCATCCAAACAATTCTTAACAAGCTCAAAGATGACACCATTAAGGGTGGTAATGGTTGAAGAGGATTTTATTTGTGCTATTGCATCTGGAGGCAATGGTTGTATAGACATGTTGAAAGCAATGAGCAGGTCATTTAATATGAGTATGGGCAGATAAACAAATCAGATACCACACACGATTCATGTGGGTGAAATCATATTGCTCTGTAGGAAGGAGTAGAATGAGCAAGAGCCATCTAGCAAAATCATGTGAATGGTTAGTACTGTAAGGATCAATTCATCGTAGAAGAAGAAGTCATCCACGTTGAAAACCCTACATATATGGGGGTATCGCAGCCACAGTTGTATTTAGATATAGTAGGTATACCACTGAAGTATGAATGAAAAACCTTCAACTTTCGATGTTGAAGCATCAGAACCATTCGAGTAGATCACATGATCAGTTTCTAATCTGGCACTAAGCCTTAGCTAGACTAGCTAGCACGCAGTAGTAATTATGACGGTCGGAGGTTTAGATGTGAATCATCCGAAGGGTAAGCTGCAGCTTATGTAATCCATTATTGAGTCGATTGATTGGTCCAATTGATTGATCGATCAAATCAAGCACCAAACAAGCACCAAGGGTTTTTGGCACTAGAGAAGAGAGACCTTGGTTAGAGTGATGGTCATTAGAATGAATCAGCGAATTTCCATTCGAACCAAATCATCATCGTCGTCTGAACTTCTTCTTTTCTTCTTATCATTGTGCCAAAGATAAAGGTATCAAATTACACCTGAATTCCCATTTTTCTTACTTGAGAGAGAATTTTGGTGTCTTGTTACTTTTACTCCTTCTTTCTTCTTTCTTTCTTATCTGCCCTAGGGCAAAGGGCAAGGCAAGGCGGAGCAAAGCAAAGCAAAGGGAAATACCGAGATAACACATCAAACCACGATAACCCGGCCATTTGGAATCTACAATCAAATATCTCCCATTCATTCTCCAATTCCCAATCTTCATATCCTTTCTACGCTTTCTATATCCTCTCCGCATAACACCGCTCCGAGCCAAGCCAGACACATAGATTTCGCACAATGGCGGCCACGGAGTTAGCACAGCAACAACAATCTCCTCCAAACTCACAACAACATGGTATGAGCCACATTACAGTTCCATTTCCGTTCCCAGCCTCATAATTCATTCATCACAATGATACTTTCAGTTGATCGTGCATTAACATATCCTATCACTTTTGCCTGACTCTTATTCTCAACTTATCATCAACTAACAGATATGCCAGACCGTTCTGAACAAGTAGGAGGACGTCGTAGACCATTTACAACATGGATGAAAAAGTTCACTAATTTCAAAAGTGGCTCTTCAACTGCAAATTCCAATCAAACCACTAACGCGAAACGAAATGGTCAACAAACAAAGGCGAGCTTAAAGAAACAATCTCCTTCGAAGAATAACAACCCATATCCAGAATCCGGTCGCATAAACGGTACTGCGGCAGCGCCTGCCTCTCGCGATAGACATTTGTCATTTTCCACCGTACCAACCGGTAACTCGGTCAGCACGTCATCGTTGGAAAGAAGTCGAAGATCAACACAATATTCTGAAGATGGACATCCACCGCCAACAATCGGAAACAAATCCGTAGCTCCTACAACGGGCGAGGAACACGACGTTGCAAGATCAGACATTGCAGCATCCCATGCGCCATCTTCAGGTGAAGCTACAAATGCTACAATTGGATGCGGGGTTAGCACTGGTAGAGGTGCTGATAGTACATTTTCTTCTCCGGCACCATCCGTCAGATCTTTAACTACAACTCTTACAACGATTCATTCTGCTGGAGCTCCTGGCACTACCGTTTCGCACAATCATGCCTCAAATAACACACAAGGTATTCAATTCACACATCAGTTTCCCACCTCCCCACCAGCCACAGCCTTGCCCGCACATTTGGCCCCACAAGGTAGTGGAGGTCACCCTGCGACATACAATACAGCTACAGCGAACAATCTCCTCACAGATAACGCATCTATCTTGACTTTGGCCTCATCTTCTAAACGCAGACGAAGGCGATCTATGGATACTGATGCATCGGTTCGTGCTTTGGCGCCTTCTTCAGTATTTGGTGGCAGTCGCGAAAGTCTACCATTGAGCGTTTTAAGTGCTACAATTGACGGTTCTACTATCACATCACCAACTGGTCTATATCAACCACGCCCTATCGCAAATGAGAGAGCTAGCATTTACTCTTCGACAGGTGTTGCTCCAGCTTTACCAAGCGAAAGGAATAGTTATTACGCCAACAAACAATCTTTGGCAAATGATGGTGGAAGTGTGAAAAGTGGGTTATTAGGTCATGGCAGGACAGACAGCATCTCTGGAAGTATCGGTGGCATGGCTGCTCCGGGAAGCCCACTAGCTAGTCCACGCGATCCTACAGGCTCTACCGGAAGATTGAGTCGAAGTAACTCGGGTTGGGGAGAAAATGGTGAACTTGTGATCACAGATACTACGCACACTCTAGACGGAGAAGATGCGAAAGACAAAATTGTTAGGGAGGAATTGGAAGAAGAGAACGAAAAGTAATTTTTCATAATACTGGTATTTGGAGCGTAGGGAATATGAGGATGAGCGATGTTTCAAAATATGAAAGTGGATTTAAGGTCGGATAGAAATGCGGAGAATGGACATCGAGGAAGATGTCGGTTGGTGTTTGGGTTCTGTGATTTACGGTTTATGCACCAAAGATACCCGATAATTTTTGATTGAACTTCTAGGTTCTTGATTCCCAAATGTTCCTGTTTATCGGGTTTCGAGAATATTCATGGGGGTGAGTGTGTAATCAAGAGATGGTTTTGAAACATGAAATATTATCTGAAGTATTCCATCTCAAGATTTCTTAAATTATATCGTTTGTGATCCATTGCAGCTGATTAGATCGGATCGTTCTTTTGAAATATCAAAACTTATCTGCAAAACTCGAGTTCAGTAAAAATGGAACATTAACATCAACTCTACCGTCCAAAGTATCTGAGATGTGTTGAGATCTAGTCCGCACTAGACTAATTCTCTGTGCATTTTGAATAAGTGAATGAAAAGTATTCTCCGAATACACATTTTTGAGGAGTTGACTTCGCTCCCATATCTTTATGGCAAGAGGTCGATGAAAGTGTCTGGATAAGAAAGGAATACTAATTTTACTCTCTTCAAGTCTTAATCACAAGTCAGAACGCCAAGCGATTGCTTAATCATGTCCAAACGCGTTCACGTGATTCGCCGACTAAAATGCCGAACCGAGGGCATTGAACAAGTGTTTTCGTCTCTAGTACGAAGTATTGTACCAAATATACTTATAGAGTACAGATAATCTCTATTGGAAAGCTGTGCCTGATAAATCCATGCTCAACATGTACGGCATCTATACTGCTTGACCTCGGCTTCGGTTCTGCCTGTTTGCTCAAAGTTCCTGTCGGTCATCGATATGAAAGAGGTTGGATGCCAAGAACATTGAATATACATGTTGCGCGTTTGTCTACGCGTACACTAACTGTGCGTTGCAGAGACGCAAATAGCCTATTTCGGGTTCAAGCATAACTTCTTTCGCTCTAAAAAGAAGTGCCGAGACCAGAGGAAAAATGTCCGAAACCTCCGAACTATCTGGGAACATATTTTCGGCGACATGCATAGCATTACCATATGTCTGCGTAAGAACACTTGATTGTAAGGAGAAGGAGACAATGGACTTGTTGGATTGTCAAGAAAATATCTGATCGTTGGATCGCTGACCAACTTGAGGTAAACAGGTGTTTTGATATGTGGTTGGATTAGAGCCTTCTTTACAAGTTCAACCTATGTTCTGGAATTTGATGCACGGAAGTACTAGGAAGACTGGTATCCTTCTGCAGCCCGCTTTTACTGGATGAACTAGGTGGTCCGGCTCAATACCGCATCTAAACGTCATCCCGAAATTTGAGAAGATATGGAGCATTGAGGTGGCGGTAGACAAATGCCGAAGCTTGAAACGAATCTTCAACGGTGTTAATAATCTATGAGCCCCTTATTAATATCTTTTACCATGCGTAAAGGCTTAGCCACTGGCTCATGCGCAGATCCAAAGCTTGATTTAGCAAGAGTCAATAGCACAATACCCTTTATTCGGGACCGAACAATATATGGGGCACGCAATGGTGAGTAGGTAGCTGCAGTGAGGATATCTTTCAAATGAATATATAAAGAAACATGTTCCGTTCTCATCGGAAGTTTTCTCCTTACTCACTCCTCTCCAATTCACATTCTTTTTACAATGAAGCAGTTTACTTCTCAAGTCCTTGGGGCTGCCGCTCTCGCTCATAGCGCCTCAGCACAACTTTACAACCAAGTAATTCAAACCAACTACGGACCTGTCCAAGGTATTCCTGCCTTCAACTCTTCCCCAAATGGTAACATTTCGAACTGGGAGGATATCACAGTATGGAAAGGTATTCCATATGGTGCCGATACCTCTGGCGAGAATCGATGGACACCTCCAAAGAATGCAACACCTTGGTATACCACTCTCCAAGCAAACAAGATGGGTCCTATTTGTGGACCAGGCAATCCATCCACAACCGGCGGCACTGTTAGCGAAGATTGTTTGAACCTCAACATCTGGACCAACGGTAAATCTACCGATGCCAAGCTCCCAGTTGTCTTTTGGTCTTTCCCAGCAGGTGGTGCTGCCGACCAACCTTTATTTGACGGTGCCGGAATGGCATCTCGAGGCATTGTATTTGTCAATTACAACTATCGTATTAGTGCTCTTGGTTGGCTTTCAACCCCCGAGCTTTCGGCAGAAATGTACAAGGCTACTGGATCCAACAGTTCCGGAAATTGGGGCCAGCTTGATCAAATCCACGCTTTGAAATGGGTACATGCCAACATTGCTGCATTCGGTGGTGATCCAGACCATATCACCGTCATGGGTCAATCCGCTGGGTCAGCTGCTGTCTACCACTTCGTTAACAGTCCATTGTCAAAGGGACTTATTGTCGGAGCCATCGCCGAGTCAGGAACCCGTGATCCATACGATCCTGAGGCCCTTACTCTTGCCGAGAATTATCGTAACCAGTCTTATGCT